TGAATGCCCATATTGAGGGTCTGGATGGGTATACGGACTCAACTGGAAGCATATTACTAGAACTGGTGGAAAAACATGACTTAGTTTTATGTAATACCAGTCAGAAGTGTGACGGGCACATAACTTGGGAAACTGGCAATCTGCATTCAACTATAGATTACGTACTCATGTCACACAAAATATATGGTAAGTTACAAGTAATGAAAATAGATGAAGAAGGTTCCAAAAGTCTTGGTAGTGATCACAAACGTATTAAGCTGAATTTTGCCAGAGAAGTAAATGCTGAAACTAGACAACATAATTCAAAGCAAACTTTCTGCAGCGACAAAGAGTTGGAAATAGTTGTTGAAAGAATAGAGGCAGCAGTTTCAGGGCAATGGCATACAGATTGGACCTATGAGAGCCTAACTAGGCTTTTTTCTCTAGAACTAGACAAAGTTAAGAGTAAACAAAAGGGGAAGCAAGGACATAGACCAAAAAGTTGGTGGGACAAAGAAGTGAAGCAAGCGATACAAAAACGTCAGGAAGCCTCTAGAGAACACAGGTATTCTAAGCGTAGTGGGGAGTCCGAAACGGAAGTAAAAAGAAAATGGGACAATTTTGTAACATGTCGCCGAGAGGCATCCAGTTTGATCAATGCGAAAATTCAGAGAAAGGGTGAGGAATGGATGAGTAATGTAAGTAAGAAAGATAGAAATGCTGCCAAGAAGTTTTGGGAGCACTTGAACTCACTCGGTGAAACAACGCAAGCTAGACAGAGGTTCATACTCTCGCATCAGGGAGATCAATTAGAGGGAGATGATGCGATACAATATATAGGAGCAGTGATGGAGGAGAAATTTCGGGAACGGGTACATGTGGAAGATAGGAGAGCCGAAGGAAGTAGCAGTCCAGTTTGTGACATCGCGGATTTTGGACAAAGAGAATGGGAAAAGGCGGAACGAAGAGTCCCTAGTGGCACGTCGACAGGCACAGATGGTATCCCTATCAAGCTGGTGAAGAATTTGGGTCCTAAATCTAAGGCAAAACTAAGGGAGGTAGTGAGTACCATGATAACAAAAGGAAATATTCCAGATGAATGGAGGCTTAGTAGGATGAGTATGATATATAAGGGAAAGGGAGATAAGTCTGATATTAGAAATTATCGTCCTATAACCGTGACACCGGTTATTTACAGGTTGGTAATGCAGATTATAAAGAACAGACTGGAGGAATGGGTAGATTGCGAGGGCATACTGGGCGAGTTACAGAACGGGTTTCGAAAACAAAGAAGGTTGGAGGACAACTTATTTTCTCTAACACAGTGTATAGAAATAGCGCAAAAAGAAAACAGACAGCTCTGGCTGGCATTTCTGGATATCAAGGGTGCCTATGACAATGTGAACCAAAGAAACCTGTGGGACATAATGGAGAACTTAAACCTAGATGAAGGACTAACAGCACTATTAAGGAACATTTACAAAGATAACAAAGTGATTATAACATGGGAAGGAAAGGCGACAGGGAAAATAGAGATAAGACGAGGCCTTAGGCAGGGGTGCCCGTTATCGCCTTTGCTGTTTATGTTGTATCTGAGAGGATTGGAGGATAGACTAGAGAAGAGTGGGCTTGGGTTCAACCTTTCTTACAGTAAGCTAGGCCAAAAAATTCAGCAATCCTTACCGGGATTGATGTATGCGGATGATATTGTACTAATGGCTAACAACAGGACAGAGTTGCAGGAATTAATGAGCATCTGTGGTAGGGAAGGAGAGGAATTAGGTTTAGAATTCAGTAGCGAAAAATCGGCAGTCATGATTTTTAACGAGGATGAAGTTGAGAGGCTGAAGATACAGAATATTACAGTTGAGAGAGCTAGTAAATACAAGTATCTAGGAGTATGGATATGTGATGGTGCAGAATATCTCAGAGACCATGAAAAGTATATAATAGGTAAGGGCAACAGAAATGCAGCTGTAATGAAAAATAGAGCACTTTGGAATTACAACAGGTATGAGGTGGTGAGAGAGATTTGGAAAGGGGTCATGGTGCCTGGCTTGACTTTTGGAAACGCAGTGCTATGCATGAAATCCGAAGTGCATGCGAAACTAGAAATAAAACAGCGCGGAGTAGGTAGACTGGCTTTGGGGGCGCATTGCAAAACGCCAAACCAGGGAGTACAAGGAGACATGGGATGGGCATCATTTGAGAGCAGGGAAGCGGTGAGCAAGGTAGAATTTGAGGATAGGTTGAGGCTAATGGATGGGGAGCAATGGGCACGAAAGGTTTTCAGCTATTTATACATGAGGAGTGTAGACACAAAGTGGAGACAGCGCACTAGGAAATTAAGAGGAAAGTTTTTGGGCTATAGCGAAGATACGGAAGAGCAAGTCTCAGTTAAGAAGAAAGTTAAGACCACAGAAAGGGATCGGTGGCTAGAGGGAATGCAGACAAAGACTGCTCTGGAAAGCTATAGATTAAACAAAAGAGTTATTGCCAAAGAAAGCATTTATGACAATTCTAGGGGAAGCTCATTGCTGTTTGAGGCAAGAACGGGTGTTCTGCGAACCAGAACATACAGAGTGAAGTACCAGGAAATGGATAGTGTGCATTGCTTGTGGAGAGGAGGACGAGACGGCTGAGCACTTGATACTCTACTGTAAAGGGCTTCACCCTATGCCTACCGAAGACAACATAGATTTAATAAAGTCATTGGGTTTTAGAGACAGCGAAGGGAGAGTGGATTTCAAGACTGTAGAGATTACCAAGCAAAGATTAAGTGAATGGTGGCAGAAATCGAGAGAAAACTAGGTATTTTCTTATTCACTGATGGCAAGGGGGTTTCATAGCCTCACTTTCTTTGCACTGCGGAGTGAATATAGATTTCACATTTAAATATTCTAAGCTTAAATGGTAAAACAAAATGGCTAGGTGGCGTAAGCTACCGCCCGATCCAAAGGGCTCAGCCGTATTCATCCATCCATCCATCCATCCGGTGCATTTCTGCTGGAAGGGGCGTGGCGTGAAGCGTCACAGAGCACGAGAGCGTCTCGTACTTCGCGTGCTCATGCAGGACACACTTCTACGCTTGGTGCCATTGTGAGCCGCCCGATGGCACCGGGCGCAGGGCAACGTTACTGGAGCAAGCTCAGTTTCACAGCTCCGTCTGCGACGTGGGCGCAGTGGCGGTCACAAGAACTAGCAGCGCTACAGGCAAGTCTTGCTTCTGGATTGACTAGCCCGCCACATTTGAATAGCAATACTTGAGCTTCGGCTACTTGTTGATTCACACTAACACTTCACAGCGCAAGAAAACAGACGCACACAAAAATAAATTTCAAACACTAAAAGAAAGAACACTCACAATGCGCTGACTCCGATCTCTGTGGTGTATTACGCTTCATCTTCATCATCTTTTTTTTTTGCTAAAATACACATGGAAGTAAAAAAAAAGAGGAAGAAATGAAAAAGAAAAGGAGGCTCTCAACGCAGTGGTAGCAGATAACGCGCGAGACAGGGAAGCAAGATCCGACTGCAGCGCCGCTAGTTCTCGACTTCTCGTGACCAGCACCTGGGCCACTCCCCTCTGCAGGCGAGAACAGGGAGCTGCGAAACAGCTTGCTCCAGTAACGTTGGCGCATGGTACCGGTGTCACCAGTGTCATGAACAAGTGGCATGCTATCGATTTTAGAAAGTTCGCCACGGGGCCTACAAAAGTCACCTGTGAAAGTGTTAACAAATGGCATATAAACTTGATAGCAGTTCCTGGAATAAAGATACAGGCGCTAGTCGGGTTTTAAAGCGTGGTAGCTTTGCAGAACCTCTAGTGCTCACTGGAATCAGCCAATGAGCGTTAATCACGTTACCTTTCCACCAGCTAATCAGCGTCGAGCTTTGCGGCCAACTTTTTGGGCTTCACATCGGGCAGTGCATGATCATAAGCCCTGCTGTTCTTACTTACGTCAGTGGCAGGGCTTATCTTCATGCGCTGCTTAATTCCTTCTGCGTTCATAATATAATACTGCAGTCTCATTGGATCTGGACAAGGCGGTGTCATTTGGCGTGCACATCCTTGGAATCGGCGCTCCCCCTTTAAGTGTCACACGCTACCTATAAATCTTCTCAAATACCAAAGTATCATTGCTAACTCTCAACTTTGAAACAGAAAAATCACCCAATATTGATGTCCATTATTAGCGGCGAGATGTTTTAGTGGCGCCCTCCTACGGTTCCCCCTTGTGACATCATTACCTTTCAAACAACAAGTTCGATGGTGTCTGTAAATAGCATGGTGGAAGTTTGAAATCATTGCGCTCTCAAAGGAACACTGCCAACACCGTCGAAATTAAAGTTCTTTCATTCCTCTTATTTCCGTCGATGATAAATCCTTTTCTGACGTCAAAGTCAGCCTTCGGCCAATCGTGGAGGGCCGACCACAACGACGCTTTCGGTCGCGCACGTCGCCAATATATGCTAGCTGCCACTCTATTCAGAAATTCCAACTGAAAGGTAGAGTTGGTAAACTCACCGATTTTTTATTTTCTATAATATACCCGGCGTTTGCGTGTATGATACTCTGCTCTGGAGTAGTGCTTTCCCGTTAGCATGCGGTTGTGCTGCGGCAAAGCAAGATAGGCAAAATCACAATATCTGCTCTGCGGTTCTCGCTTCACTGCAGTGTACCAAAGTGTGGCGATAAGTGCACTCAACAAACTAACTAACCTGCCAGAACAGACCATGAACGTGAAAAATATTGTGAGACTTCCGAGTACTGTCATTGTTTGACACAGATATCAAATCGAGTAGTACATCATTTAAGGCAATAATTAAAGGCTCTCAAAATTTGCATAAGCCTACTCCAACAATTAGACAGTGTAGCAATGAAGTAAAATTACATTTTGGCAGAATGTTGGTGCAAATTCATCACTGCAACTGCAAAAGCATCGGTACACACTTCATGCTAAGACTTCCACAAAAGTTTAAAGTTGTGCTCTGGTAAGGAAGGCAGGCTGACATGTAAATACCTAAGAAAATTGACATTTATTATAGCATAGGTGTGCAATCCAAAACAAAGAAAACTGAAAACTTGTGTAAAGAGAGGGTCAATTTAACTTACATTAAATACAAAAGAAAAGTCCAATATACAAAGGCACTTAAGATGTCCAGCAAGTCACAATTTCTTTGAGCACAGAGTGATAAGTTGGACCCTCCGTGGTGCCTTCAGGGGCGTTCCGCTCTCCTGATTTCCTAGTTTTACTACCAAGGGTTTTGTTTCTGTTGAAGCAGCTTCCCTCAACTCTGTGTTACTTTTGCTTCCAAGGCACCCATGTTCCTGGATGGGCTGGTGTTCCAGAGTTTCGCTCAGCTCTTTTTCGCCGCTTTTGCCACAGCTTTCGTCAGCAGTTTCATTTTCGTTGAGCTTCTTTTCAATGACGCTGTCCACTTCCATGTCTTCGACCAGAACAACAGAAGCATTGGGTTTTTCTAGCACCTTATCTCCGACGTCTGTTGTACCATTCTGAGACGCAGTGGACGCTTGGTTTTTCTTCTGGTTTTCCCCCTTCTTGGAGCTCGACGGAGAGTTGCTGCAAAATGAAATAATATATGCCCTCTACAACACTCCGTCCTATGGAGCACGGGGTGAGTGATTGGGCGTGTTAAGTCCACACTCCTTTACTCCTACTCCGATGCTCCGAGTCTCATACTCCGAGCAAAGCCACTAGACGGAGCACAGTGTACAGGAGCGCGGCACAATTATCGACGACCCGCTAGAGCCACCGTTCCAAACGCATGGTTATGACGAGCCCGGCATCTTGTGGGGTGGCAGAGGCCAAAATTATTTCTAAAATAAAATACTGGAGGCCTCTCTAAAGAGGCAGATTGTAAAGTAAAAAAAAAAAAAAAAAAAAAAAAGACAATGACGTTAGGAACTTTCTACGAATAATTTAACGTTCCTGAAAGGTTTGAGGACTTGCTTCTAGCACATATGCAGAAAGTTACGTCGACCAATTATTTATTGACCATGCGTGCTGTTTAGATTTAAATGAGAGACAACACTCTTGAACCCGCTTGTAGGCGCAGGAAACTGCCAAATTTGTCAGATGTTTTGTGGTTCTGTCTTGCAGCACGAGACTGAACACATCGAGGTGCTGCCCTGATACCGGCAAATCACCGTTCGATAAAGAATTCGTTTTTAGGCAAGATACCATGAACAAACCTTTACCAAAACGCTAACGGATGTTTCGCCTTTTCAATCAAAGTATCTTTACTCGGTGGGCAAATCATTTTAAAAAGGGCAGCGGACTGAATGTCTTCTCATCTTGACAACTTTTCTGTTGCTGTGCTATCGGTGTGCTACCAATCGATAGATGAACTCATTCTCAAGCGAGATGCATGAACAAACCTTTTCCGCAATGCTAACTGATGTTTCAGCTTTCCGACTGAAGTGTCTTTATTCGCTGGGGCTGGGCTAAGCATTCTAAAAAGGGCAGCGGTCCAAATGTCTTCTCCGTCATACCTTGACAACTTTTCTGTCGCTGTGATACCGGCATTATCGGCGCGCTACCGCCAGATAGATGAATTCGTTTTCAGGCGAGGTGTACAAACAAACCTTTTCTGGAATGCTAATTACTGTCTTGGCTTTCGAATCAAATTGATTTTACCTGCTGGATTAAGCTCTATTCAACTAAAAAGGGAAAGCAGTCCGGCTGCACCCTTCGTCTCGCCAACGTTTCTGTCAGCGCAGTCATCTTGTTTGTTGATGTGATGTCACGGAGCGCAAAGAAGTCACTCGCACTCCGAGAAATACTCAATCAGAGAAAAGTGCACTAGAGTGTCAGTTTCCAGTGGCGCTCCTGTCCGTTTAGTGAATAAAATGCCGAACACTCGCGCTCCAGAGCACGGTCTTAAAGGGATACTGAATCGAAATTTGGATTTCGCAAAATAAGGCTGCAGAAATGTTGAACCGGACGCGACGAGCTCCAAAACATCACTCATACATCGATATCTCAAACGGATGGCAGTACTTTTGGAAGAGAAGACAGCGATCAAGCGAGGGCTACGACGTCATTGTCCTCCTGGAAATTTTGAGAATGAAGGAAGTGACCTCGCTTCTGTCCTCCTTGCATCGGTTCACCAGCTCGACGGGACGTAGTGAGGAGGAGAGGGAATGAGAATAGTGATGTGACGTGTCTCGTCGGCCTTATTGGCAGTGTTCAATCACGCACTTCTTTTCCAAAAATACGGTGATCCGTATTTTTCACACCGTATCCCTCTAGCCTTGTTCTGCAAGCTTGGAAATTCGGTTCAGTATCCCTTGAACGCGCCCACTGTGAGGGTTTACCAGGGCTACTCTCAAATCCCGGAAACTTGCCTCAAGATCACCCAGGAGTAAAAATTAGTATTCTTTGAGAGTGCTTTGTGTATTTTTATAAATATGAAATCTAACGCTAACTTGGTATATAATCCAAACAGCCCTTAAGGCATGCTTTCGATTCCTTTTTGCAGTGGCATAACGACATTGACCATTCAAATATCTGCTCATTACATGGACTGCAATAAAAAAAGTATGTTTCTTATGACTGAGGCATGGCTCAGTATTCTCATTTAACCTACCCAGTTTGAAACCCCAGCAGATCCTCTTTTAAGCATTACACCTAGAGAGAGCCCTATCGCAGACCATATGAATTTGATAGGGCTAGTGATGTTTTGGTTATTCATCAATGTATGATGATCAGAAAAATGACAGGCATTTTTTCAGGGTGAATGTTCATTCACAACTTTAGGAAAAATATGTTGTATGCATAGTATGTTTAACAAAAATAAGGCATCAAGACTTTTTCATATTTTATCTCTACAGCTTGCTGGTTTAACACTAGTCGCAATTACACAAGACAGTGACTATTTCGACGTCCACACTCAAAATAATTTCAAGTATTATTTTGATGCCCATGAATCCTGAAGACGTGAAAATATTTTCAAAATCATTTTGACGTCCCCTTTCAAAATATATTTCTCTCATTATTTTAATGTCTTCCAACTGAGAACTTTGGAGCTTTGGAGTCCGCACTGGAAAGTGATTGAAAGTGGTGATAAAGAAATATCTTGCAGGCGGCATCGCAGTTCAACACACATTTTTCGTAAACAAATGTGCGGTTGACTGTAGTTTTTATAACCTTTCAAGTAATGGGGAATGCAAAAAAACCTTCTCAAAGTTACAACATCAGCTATCAGGCCCCAGGTAACATTTGCTTGGTTATGCTAAACATTACAGAATGCGGCACCGTTGCTTGTCATGATTTATTTCACGTGTTTTATATAGATAAAGAAGCTGAGCTGAATCTCGTTGTCATAAAAAATGTACCGCAAAATCCCGTAATGATGCCCCTTCCCTAGAGATCGCCCATCCCGTGTTTTTGGCTAAATATCTGTAACATGAAAATTCCGAAACATTGCCCACCTCCCGATTTCCATCGGACGTCAAGCAATGTCAGACGGGAATCGCGCATCAACGGTGCAATTAGCGGTAGCAGTACGTCCCGAAAGCGAGTTCATAGCGGGTTCCTGCAGTTTTGTCTGCAATCTGAGTGCGTGATACCCGTTCCCGTAAGACGCGAGTTGTTCCCGCGCACATATTGCATCGTGAAATGCGAATCTGCTACGTTCGCTATTTGCAGTATCTGTTCCCAAGTTTGTGCCGGATATCCGTGTTTTTGTCCGGGATCTGCGCGCGCTATATCAATTCTTGGCTGTAACACTGCAAGTCATTCCCGCGTGTACATTGCATTGTGAAATGCGAGGCTGCAGCGTGCGCGATCTGCGGTGTTTGTTTCCGTGACACGGGAGTTCGTAGCATTTTCTCGCGTTTTTGTCTGCGATCTGCGTGTGCGACATTGGTTTTCGTCAATATCGGTTTTCGTGTCGGGCAAGATCGTAGTGGGTTCCCCCGTGTTTATTGCACCATGAAACTAGATCTAGCTGCGTCCGCGATCTGCGGTATACGTTCCCGTAAATACAAGTTCTCGGCGGGTTTCTGCGAGTCCTTCGCACCACGAAATGTGAATCTGTTGCGTCGGCCACGTGCGGTATCCCTTCTTGTAACACAGAAGTTTGTAGCAAATTCCCGTGTGTTTATCGCATCGTGAAATGCGACTTTGCCGTGTCGGCAACCTGCGGTGCCAGTTCCCACGTTGCTTGGTTTATAGCGGGTTCCTCGGCGCTTATCATTAATTCTTTATAAAGTTTTGCTGTGGCATCCCCAAAGATAGCCACCCCATGTTTTTCACCATTTATCTCTTCATTTTGGGTGGGCGTTTTTACGGGATTTTACGGTAGTTGACTGGTCAACATTTGCTGTTGGGAAGTGAATGTATCTTGTACAACTGCGGCGCAAACTGCCATATAAAAAATATTTTTGGATGCATCAGAACCATTGTTGTTCATTCACACCAGTCAAGAAACATCATGGCAGTGTTTGCATTCACATTTTACTTAACATCCCGGTCGTTTCATAGTTAACCCACTCATTATACACAAACAAAAATAAAAATCCAAACTAAACAACAAACTCATGAAACCCGGTTAAAAAAGGGGCACAAGCCAGATGCAAAGTGAAACTTTGCAATCATACGAAGACACACTCGCACAGTAGGGGAGGCACAAAAAGCATGCCAAACTCTCAGTGTTATGTAGTGTATGCACATACATTTTTTACAAGCTTGCAAAATAGGGGGATATCCAGCTCTCCTTTCTTGTGGATTCAAAATTTTAAGTGAGATGTGTGTCGAAATGACGTGCGAGAGCTTGGAAGATCGCCGCATTGTGTGTCTTGTCTGAAAGGATGAACTTTTAAGCCAATCAAGCACACATACGCTGAATAAGACATTTCCAGTGCCAAGTAGGATCACAACTTTTTAGGCATGCGGCACAACGACACATGATTCCATCAACACAACACCATCACATCAGAAGCTAAACAGAACAAAACTTCCGAAACCATGAAACGGCTACCACGCTACCACAGCAATGGCAGCACCAATGGGGGACGTCGAAATACTGAAGTCACTATTTTGACGTTTTACAGAAGTGACGTCACAGATGTCAAGATACTTTTAACAATATTTTCACAGTTGACATTGAAATTATCACTGCCATTACACAAATAGACGTCTCCAGAATGTCTGTCTAGACATGTACTGTCAGGAGCGAAAATATAATTCATGATACCCACGTCCGATGTGCTGCCAAGCTGTTACGCCTTCCAGAGCAAGTCACATACTTCAGAAGCCTCAGGGCCGTGCAGCGCATTGCCACAGCCTGAAACTCACAGGCCCGTCCTATCCAAGGAGGAAAAGCTTACCTGGCTTCATCGATGACAGCCTTGAACGGCAGCTCTCCGTCGTAGATTTTCCCAATCTCTCCTTCACCAAATGTTATTATGGAGCAAAATCCGTCCGTTGAAGAAGCAACAAGCACCAGTCCGTCAGGAGACCTGCAGCACAATGATCACAGCCATCAAACGGACAGAAGGTAAAAAGTCTCAATGCTGAATAACCAACCAGGCCCCCTGCCTGGTTGTTTCAGTCCTGAACTGTAGAAATTTTGTCATTCATTAAATTTCATCTCAATACATTGTACCAATTAGCATTTTTATGTATTTTCTTTTCTTGTCTATTGCAGTGTCATCTCAGGAAGCAGACCACATAGAGAAAATCAGATACCCCAATGGCAGGGATGGCCTCGTCGACGCGCGCAGCCAATGGGACCAAAAGCCGAAATCCATCAGCTTTGCTCCGCTCCCTTGGGATTGGGGAAACCAGGTGCCATTTGGCGCGGCTTCAAAGCTGATGATGTCGGCTCGCTCCATGGGACAGTTAATGCTTTTGCATTAAAATGCTGGTTAAACTGGGCAGACACTTTACTTGGGGTAGAAATGATCAACAGAAATTGGGCGCTTTGAGGACTCTAGAGGGCACTCTGAGGAACTCTAAGGAACAATTGGTTGACAGCCTATGACGCAATTTAGCACAGCAATGACACACATTTTGTCTTTCCTGGAATGACCCTTAAAAAGATGTTGCTTTATCAACTCACCATGTCAAGTCACTCAGTCTCGTGTAGTGGATGTTTGTGATGTGAGCGAAGGGAGAAGACTGCTCGGTGTCGTACAGAAGAATAGCGTTCTGTGTTGCCACTGCAAACACCATCCTGTATGGGAGCCTGCACAGAGAATCATTATACTTTTAGAGAACAAACCAGCTCTAGAATTTCCACCTCAATTCTGAGAGGTAGTTAATAATTTTCAAACTCCAGTACTTGAACATGGGCAAGAAACTCTAACAAGTTGAGACACCTAAGGACCGTATACTCACCCAAGAAAGGGTCCATCCAGAAGCTTGCTTTTGGATCCGTCTAATGAGAAAAAGAATGGAAATTGTCAAGTGTCTTTCGCATTTGCAATGTCTGCAGCTCGTACCCTCCTGACAAGGTTCCACGGAATCTGTCTTTCGTGCTGTTTCGGACTCTGCAGTTTCCATCGTCTCCGGCACAACAGGTTCCGTAAACTCGGCAGATTCCACTTTTTCAGCTGCCATGGATTCTGCAGATTCTATCTTCTTGGTACCCCGAAGCTTGAAGAAGATGGGGCAAAACCTGACGGCCAGACTTGGCTTGTCACCAATAGGAAGGTAATACGCCGGCCTGTAAAATAGGGGTTACCATTTCAGTTATCTCACAAGTTGCTTTTACATCTGTGAGTGGGAGTATATCAGGGTTCGTACAAGCTTCAAATAAAAAAAAGTCAAGAGTTTTCAAGGACTTTTAAGGGCTTGTAAAGGTATTTTCAAGGACCCTTTCTGATACTATATATAGTAAATTTATAATATAACAACCTTTTGAAATGCACGCCAAAAATTCTTTTTTTGCACGATACCTAGGAAAAGGCATACTTGCCAAAGACGTGCTAGTAACAGGTTCAGTAGAGCTACTGCAGCTTTTCCTTGATTTCCTGGTTGATATTTAGAAGTTTTTGCACCTTTGTTTTCGCTGTTTTCCTAAGGCTGTTCGACATGACAATGTAGGTGATGCCACCTGTTGCCCTTGCATTCTAGGTGTCTGTAGTTGCACATACTGGGCACCGCGCACAACTTAAACTACGTCCACCATGTGTAGCCTAAAACAGACGCAGAACAAGGAAACCAGGAGTAAGTAGCAAACAGTATGCAAAGGAACAAGGCGAACGGGGAGCAAGATTGCAAGATGGCAGACGGGCGAGACCGGATACAAAGCCACCGGGACTGCTACCATTATGGCCAGGTGCTTATGGGCATCCGCTAAATGTGTCTAAATGTGCGATATAAAAAAACTCTTGTTGAAATTTTGAAATTTATGTTAAAGAATGGCATTCTACCGATGCGGAAGTTGCTTTCTTGCCTTGCATCGTTCGACATAACAGATCGAAAAGCAAAGCAAATCCGCTAAGCCTAAAGACTGGCACGACCACCCATAAAACCAATTCCAGAGTCAAGAGGTTTGAAGGGCATCCGTTGTAACCCTGTTTTCACGTGCACGCAGTTTGCAGAGGGACGTGCTATCGCTTTGACTTGTTGGCGGCACCAATGCTAAGCAGCACTTTTGCCAATGTACTATCGTCCCCAAGAGCCAATGCTGGCGTCAAAAGCGAAATGCTGCGAGCCCCTAAAGCAACGCGCGCAATACCAGCTGTACTGACCTAATCAGCGCAAAATCAGAAAGGCGGCTCAGACAGAAAGAAAACCCCACAAGGTGGCGGTGGCCCCCTCGTGAGCCTAAAGAGGGGCTTTGGGAACCAGAGATGGCATGGACCGCAGAACACACGCAATTATTGCCTGTTTTCTCCCGGTGCACTTTTCTTTACAGAGGATAGCCACGTGCTTAGACTTAATCTGTATGTTGCTTCATAGAAAAGCTAATAACGCATTTTGTTCCCTTTTTTTCTCTCTCTCCTGTCATGCTTTTGGGAGGTCGCGGAGTCTTGTGATCATGAGACGAGACAGGACGCACACTGCGGTCATAAACAAACGAAGTGGTTGCCAGCCCTGTGTAGTTGAGTCTTGGTAGATTGTCTTCAGCCATGGCAGCAGCTTACAGCGTCTGTAGTGTATTTCATGGTGACTATCTTAGTAAACACAAAAAGAATATAGCAAAGCAGATCAATTTCCGCAGTTTGTAAGATTTGTACGTCAATTCCCCGAAGAAGGTCGCGCAATATTCTCCAGTTCGTGCATTCCCTATTTGTAGCCACATTCGGAGCTGATAAATTTTCCAGCACTCATTAGAATAATTGCAGCACAGGTAAGTGCATCGCAAAATTCGAGTCTGGTAGGGAGAGGGATAAAACACAGACTCCTCAAGTCACCCTTCTTCCAATGTGGGCAGCTGCAATGTGCTTGATATCTTTACTCCTTTTTTTTTTTGTTTAATTAAAATTAGTAATTTTAGGTATTCTAATTCTTGTCTCACTGAAAGTCTGCCAGTGAAGTCAGAAGTTTACATTGGTCAGCTGGACGTACAACCGTCATATGAATAGCAGTGTAACAAGCTTGGGCTCAAACATTTCCACTTCATCGTAAATGTAGGTATAAATATTCACATGTAATTTGCACCACTGTAACTACTTTCCTACAACTTTCAGAAAAAAAAAAAAAAAATGTTGAAGTAGCAATTACAATTGTTTACGTCCCGCCTTTGTGGAAAAAGTTCAGCTAACGATCCTAGAACTTGAAATTTTAAAGGGCAAAGCATCCTTATTAGTTAGATTAATAAAAAGGGAAAGCAACACAGGCATTGTTTTAATTAGTAGAATACTTGAGCACAGTACCCGAATACAGCAGAAAAAAATATGTCTACCATAAAGTACCGGGCAAGTGCCCACTTAAAATCTAAAGATATTTGCGAAAAAATGGGGAATGGGCACTTGTCAGGTCCAGGTCATCAATTTTACATATTAATGTACAGCGCATATTTGCTCAGACCTTACAACTTTGGGAATGGGCGCTTCGTGTGGAATGGGCGGATGCGCGGTATTCTACGACAGTTATACAATACACAGAATCAAAAGATAATTGCGTTTCTGGCATTGGGCAAAAATGCTGGCGTGGAAGGCACACTTTGCAGCGCTGTAACCTTAAAGGAAACAAAATGATGCAACATGTTCTTTTTATAAATAAACACAAGAGTATGATAAAGAACTATCACTATAAATTTTCAAAACAAATCTGTTTTTTTGTTTCTTTATTGCCAATTGAAGTTTCTTAACTTTGTACTTTAAAACAAATTTGGAGCAACATCAAAATTTCAATTTTTTTAGATAATGCAATAATTTGTATATTATTCTAAAGAAGGTTTTAATAAGAATATATGACAAGTTTAAATGCAGTAGCTATTTAACTTTTTTAGATAACGGCTTAGAAATAGTGACAAACCGTCAAAGAAGCCATGTTTGCGCATTTTGGTGCAAAATATATAACCTTTACTGTTGTTAAATATGCTGTAAATATTTAAATCAAAAGTTCTCATAATCTATCATAAGTGTAAAATATTTGAGATTTCGGATATTTGTAGGTTGCATAGTAGGTGTCAACAAACATGACATAAACAAAAACTTCAAAAATCAAAAAGCCATTCTGGCTCAGTGAAAATTTTTTTCTCTTCAAATTATGTGTTTTTTGCAAAATCTTTTTTGATTACGTTCCCTACACACGTTGAAGGGTAATGTATAAAAAAATTAACAAAAACAAAAAAATATGTTTGAACTTGTGTGCATGATCTTGCCAGAACAGGGCCCGTTTTCAAATTGGGTTTTTTCAAGGTTTTTGAAGGGCCCATGCGGGCCCTGTATATACTAATACACATCCATCAAACAGGGTCTGGAATTACAGATACTATCCACTCCTGTTCACAACCCAAAAACATGTAACCCATACTGATATGATAAGCACTGAAGCAGTACATTTCCAAGATTCTAAGAATAAGGTCTTCAAGCTTTTCAAAACAAAATTTTTTCATATTTGTTTGTATTTATGAATTAGCAACCGCAATGTCTAAACTGGCCAGTTTAGTCATCAAGGAAGCTGCCTTACCAATTTGGGGAGGGGGGGGGGGTTGTTTTATTATCTTATTATTACAAAGGCAACAAAGGAAACCTCCCATAGTTGCATGATAAACCTCTAAAATATTAATGAAAAACTGTACTCACTCAGATAGGTTTGTCCGAGCAAAGACGTAGACAGTGTTGGTAACCTTTCCTTCCTCATGCTCAATGATCCCGCAAGGTGTAACCAACAGCTCTCCGTCTGGAGAGAAAGCCAGGCGGCGGCAGAATGACTTGAGGGTGTCGTCGTAGAAGAGTCTGGACGCCTTGCCCTGCAATCCGGGGTAGCAAGCATGAGATATAAATAGTACAGTGATGTGATTGGCCTAAGCCATTTTGGAGCACCTTTTGGAGCAGCCAAAACAGTGTTTTGGAACAGCAAATGTGGCCTTTCGAGCAACCAATACAGTGTTTTCAGTGGTGGTCCAGCCATTTTAGGTTTTGGAGCAATTTTTGGAGCAAAAAAAACCCAATTTCGGAGCAATTCGTATCACATACACTCCCCTTTTGGAGCAGGGAAAAGCTTGTTTTGGAGCACCTTGGTATCAGGAAAACTAAACATTTTGGAGCAGCATGAACATAGAGCAGTTCTGTGCCATGTCTTTATTATTATTATATATATATATATATATATATATTACGGCTGCCCTTGTCAATCTTACCTCACCCCCCATATATATATATATATATATGTCTGTGTGTGTCACGAACATCTGAATTTCATATAGTAATTTACAAAGAAAAGAACTCACCATAAGAAAACCATTTTATTTATGACAGAACATTCTTGCAGCTAAAGCTTAACTATGTAACAAAATATCACAGATGAAAACTAAAATATTGCTTAATACTTCTTGCCTTTTGATTGTAGGCTATATATCACAGGTGAAAAAAAAATATTGACTCAATGCTTTTTGCATTTCTTTTTCAGTTTGTCCAGCTCGCAAAGAGTGCGTGACAAAGTGGCATTGGCTTCAGCTAACATAGTTTGGCCACCTTCTACTTTTTCCAAGCTTTGGCACTTCAGCCCTGCACCAATGGTCTCTTCCGCCCTCTTCAGCAACGCACGGCACGAGATCACCCTTTCCTCCAACTGCTTCTTTAAGCGCTTGTCATGCGAGTTGAAAGCATCAACTTGTGCGCTTCTTTCCTCATACCGGGTTCTTGCTCTTTTGACGCTTCACAGGTCTGGTGACAGGGGCACCTTTGTGGCATCTCCATCATACCTCTGCAGGTAGGTCTTCACTTGCCGCAATCCGTTGATGCTCACAATGCACAATGAGGCTCGGCCTTCAAGGAGATGCTTATTCTCACTGAAGCCTCGCTCACAGTCCGCGTTGCCATGAGGTAGAGAGAGCAGCGCTTTTACTAGCCTTAACAGTGGGTACTTCTGCTGACCAGCTGCGCACTTTTGTTGAAATACTGTAGCCCAACGAGTGTCGATCCGTCCATCTTCCATCAACTGAAGGCTGTTAGCAGAGTCACATCTCAGCAGATGCCACTTATGGACCAGTGATGACACGTGGTCGCTCTCAAGCACTTGAGGCAGCTGCGAAGCAAGGTATCGCAAGGATCGGACTTCTGACTCCACGTCGCTGGGCTGCAATCCCAAAGACTTGTGTGCTGAAGGACTTTATTGTCAAGAGGCAGCTTCTGCAGGAGGTCTTTCGAGCAAGCCAAGTAGAAGGCACGGGCCCCAAGAAGTAACCGCTTCTTTTCACCTGGATCCCATTTCAGCATTGCCTGCTCAGTGTCCATACCCACTTCTGGTTTGGTTTTCCACAGGGTAGAGTCCTGCACATCGAGTTTCTTCAGTTCCTCCGCACTCTTGTCCACATAGGCTGCACTCCTCAAACAACGGCTGAGGATTCGCTGGACTAGAGACAGCAACTCCGCGTAGAGTATGTGTAGCAGGGGCTCTTGCTTCTGAAACAGTGTCTGAAACCGAGAAAAAAGCTCAGCACAGTTCTTCAAAAACACCACCGTGGCATAAAGGTCTTTCTTTGAAAATGCTGCAGCAAGCCTGCTGTGAAGATTCTGAGTGTCCACTCGCTGCTTTGTCATGCTTGCCTTGTGAAAGTATGACTTCAGCGCTTCGAATTGTTCTAGGACACGACACAGTGAATCTTGAAGTGTGAGCCAGCGATTGGAGACATGACGCAGAAACACATGAGAAGCAATCCCTAGAGCCTCCTGACATTCTACGAGGGCTTCAGCACGAACAGCGCTTTTGAAGTAGTAGTAGACGTTTCGGACGACCTCCTCAACATCCGAGCCAAACGCATCGAGACCTTTTGCAAAAGCATTGTGGACTTTGTGAAGGTTGCAGTTGTTGATGTCAACTAAACTTGACGGCATATCCTTTTGGAGCTTGTTCCTCACGCTTTTCATGACGTTAGGCCCGTCACTGAAAAAACAAACAAGCCCTCTCTTCGGTAGCTCAGTCAGCGCGTCTTCTACGCAGCCCACAATTACTTCCGCGGTGGCACGCCCGAGGTTGTACGATTGCACATGCTCAACGACAACCTGTTGCTGGCTGTTAGAAAAGTACCTAACGAGCACATCCAGTTGCTGCGTTCTTTGCTCTGGCTTTGGGGTTTCGTCGATCATCACGGAGAAGAAAACATTTGGGTGGCACAGCTCACTCACAACTCTGGACTTGAAGTAAGGGCCGAGTCCATGGGACACGATGCGTGATAACTTGGACCTGCCGCAGCTAAACTTCTTAGCAACCTCGCTGTCCGGGAACACACACTCGCACATTCCCGTAGCACTGTCTCCCCACGAGAAAGGGATAGACTTTGAAACAACGGACATAGCGAAAATTGATTTCCACACTTGGTCTTGGAGTGATGTGCCAGAAGCACCTTGTGAGAAATCCAATGCGGCTTGCACCAATTTGGGGGGCTGAAGGTTTCCGTCTTCATCTCTGTGCCTTGCAGCAGCTTCAACATGTTTCTTCAATGCTGCGTGACGTTTGATGGCAGCTACTTCATGTTGTGCACAGGAAATTGATGAATTGCAGAGGACGCAAAATGCATCAGTTTTGTGAGTCCCCTTTTTGCACCACAGACTAATTTAATCATTATTTGAGTCCAACGTACTGAGTACTGAGTCTTTAAACTTGGTGCTTCGCTCTAGAAAAAAAGGACAAAATTACAATTTTAAACAAACCAAGAAAATACGCCAAAACTTTTTTGCCATGATCTACAAACTTTAAAGTTACCGCGGTGAATATGTATTTACACAATTGTAAGTCAACCTGTTTCTCGTGATAAATATACTCAAGGCGTCCGAGAATCCGAAACTATAGCGATTTATTAAACATGTTTGTAAGCTCTATTCTGAGTTCGCACGCAGTGCGACAGTATGACAACCAAGGGGTGACCAATCGTTTACAGCATTTGACATGAAAAGGAACAGGCAACAATTCGCAACAAGGAAATCAAGCAACAACCACGCAATCGAAAAGAGTACCACGTTCGGTAATGATGCCGCTGGTCTGCCGGTGAACGAGCGTCCGAGCAAATTTCTACTATGGGGTCTGTAACTTAAACACGCAAGCAGAAAAAAAAAAGTACTCACGTTGGCTCATCTTCAAGAGGACTTAGTAGTGGCGATGCAGAAATTAACAGCCACAACGCCGCATATCAAAACGGTCGCAACAAAACAATAATGCGCAATAATGCCACTGGGCCGGAAACCTGAATTGGATTGTGATGGCTATGGTAACGGCTCTACCCTTTATATCGGGCGGCAGCTTGCGCCACCTAGCCTACAAAATAAAACTCCCACCGGGTTGCCAGCCGAAAACGCCTTCTTCCAAAAAAGGATTCGTTCACGGACAGACTAGCCCTTTTTGGCGCAGTTTGGCGCGGTTTGGCGCAGTTTGGCGCAATTTGTGTCGTTAGGCGCAGCAAGGCGCAGGTAAAGGAGAATTTATCAAAATGGCGCAATTGGCGCAGCTGGACCACCCCTGTGTTTTGGAGCAGCAAAAGTGGCTTTTGGAGCAGCCAAGACAGTGTTTTGGAGCAGCAAAAGTGGCTTTCATTTTAAGGCTGTACAAATGAAGGGCACTTTGCGTTGTGTTGCGTTCTGATGTGATCTGTTATGAAGGAACTTGCTGCTTGTGTTTTTACTGCCGAGACATCCCACTAGTATACGGTGCTGTAGGCATTGCCGAGCAATTCTGAAAAGTCGCTTGCCACCATTTTACTGGTTCCCGACATGCCAGATTTGCGTCAAAAGTAAACAAACATAAAGCAAGCGTCCCGGCTGGTGCCTCTGTCATTGAATCATGTTCGCATGCACGTGAGGGAAACTTCAGCAGGCTTGCAGTTGCGTGTGCTTCGTCGCGCGAGCGTAGACAACGGCTGTTTGACTGAAACCTAAACCATACCACTCCGCACTGGCGCCAACTGATTCCCAGAATTGTATGCAAAATATAACTGTCGAGCATATGACAAAAAAAGTGAAAGCCGTTTACAACTCCCTGTAACACCGAATTAGAGCGCAGCTCTTGAGGAGGAGGAGGGAAGGGTACTGGGGGTGAAGTGACCTGGGGGGGGGGGGGGGGGGGGGGGGAGTCACGTGACCTTGGGGGTCACCTGACGATGCCAATGATGTCATTAGTGACGTCACTGATGACGTCATCGGTGATGATGACGATGCGGATGCCGGTGACGTCATCAGTGACGTCACTGATGACGTCATCAGTGATGATGATGACGTCATCAGTGACGACGACGATGCGGACTGCGATGACGTCATCAGCGATGATGACGATGCGGATGTCGGTGACGTCATCAGTGACGTCACTGATGACGTAATCCGTGATGATGACGATGATGATGCGGATGCCGGTGACGTCATCAGTGACGTAACTGATGACGTCATCAGTGATGATGACGATGCGGATGCCGGTGAGGTCATCAGTGACGTCACTGATGACGTCATTAATAATGATGACGATGACGATGTGGATGCCGGTGACGTCATCAGTGACGATGACGTCATCGGCGAGGTCACGTGACCTCGGCGGGGGGTCACGTGACCCTGGGGGTAGTCACGTGACCTCGGGGGGTCACATGACTTTGGGTGTCACGTGACCCTGGGGGAGGGGTCACGTGACCTTGGGGGTCGCGTGACCTTGGTTACTCCGACGCCGCTCAAGCCGGGAACGGGCCCCTAAGAGCTGCGCTCTAAAAACAGTCCAGCGGCGCAGGCTTGCCAGGCTGGCGAACAAGGTACAAGAGTAACACACACACACACACAAAAGAGAACCTGAGCGCATCGTTGCAAGACATTGCAAGCCAAGGTCAAAAAGTTCTTGAAGTGCTTTCTGCAACGACTGAACTCGAGACAGACGATTGCGCCGTGCGGATTCAGCGTGCAGACATTGCCTTCTTTGCTTTAGCTCACTTCTCTTCAACAACTTTCTTTTGCGATAGATTCTTCAGGTACCGGGGTCCCTCTTGAAAGAAAGCTCACTAAGAGAAACCTAGGTAATCAATACTCCGACACAGCAGTCTCTGAGTTAAAGAGGGATTTTTGTAGTAACGTATGATTTAAAGAAGAACAGGAATGGTGATGGACATGTGGAAGTATATATGTTTCCTTTTAGAAAGCGCCATATCTGCAGCGATCGTGGGGACGGCAACACCCGGCATCGTGCGACCACAGTGATGAAGGCAGGGACCAAATATAATTTCACCATGGCCGTCGCTTTCAGGAGTGAAAGCTTCAGCTGACAAAGTAACTCCTGCTGTGCATGAATGTGGTTTCCTTTCACAGCATGACTGCGTGGCTGGTACCCGGCACGCTCACGTCGGAGCCACCACACACACCCACGTCTATCATTGATAATATTTAAAAAAAGACGCGAGACGAAAGCGCGAAACGCGTAACGGCGGGAAAACCATGCTGGACGGAATGGGCAGTTGAAGCAGGGTACTTTGTGTCGGGCGGCCGCTTGCGACACCTTTTGGTTTTGAAAGGTGACCGAAATCGGTTTTTGGCGCATGCTTGGCACAGACTACTCATAATTTGGCAAAATGTAACAGGATGTAGCAGGGTTAGCCCTTTGGCACAATTGGCACAGCAATCACATCACTGATGGTAAGACAAAAAAAGTAAGCAGCTCCCGTTACATTGAACCTGTCTGAAGGCCATAAAAAAAACTTTATACCCTTTAAAATAAACATGTTCTTGGTACATTGCAAGAAGGCCCAATAATCTTACTTTTCAAAAGCATTTGAGACCACTTGCTTATCTTTTTAAGGGGTGCTACAACGAAATTTAGGCGCTCATTTTTTGGTCTATATGTGTTCAAAAAAGCAGCACCACATCGAACATACCAATATCTTGTTAAAAAAGTCACGAGAAGGAATTTAAAAACGAATTAAACGATTAGCAAAGAGCATCTGGTGGATATTGCTAACGCCTCGTTTGTAATGCTCGTCTAAGAACCTTGACAGTTAGTGACGGAGGTTGTCTCGCCTCCGGCCACAACGAGAAAAGTGGGGCAGGAGGAACTCCCCTTTTCCCGAGAATGCCTTTTGTGTGTCGCAGAAGTCGCTACTGTCCCCCTACAAAATTACAGAAGATTAACCCGTCACTCAAAATTCATACAAAAGCAGCCGCTTCGGTGGCTGGAACGACTAGGCCATCCTCTCGACGTCAGCCTCGCCGTAGCTTTGCTCGTCTTGAGACGACCTACGTCACGATTGCATTGGATGTCATGTGGTCTCCGCTGGGCCTTCTCCGAGCGCTTGTCAGAGTGGGCCGTTTATAACGAAAAATACAGCCACCAGGCTCACAATACAAATGTGAGATTGTCATTTACGGATATTGTGGATCGTATTCAACCTATTTTTTAACACGACGGGAATATTTCAAATTTCGTTGAAGTATCCCTTTAAAGGACACATGCAAAGGAAAAAACATTTTTTTTGAAACAGGCTAGATGAAAAAAGAATATTATAAAACAAATTTACAACGAAGAAAAAAAAAATTAGAGCTTTATTTACGGCGCAAAACAAATTTCTAGTTGGCGCCCGCAGGAGCCGCTGCTGGTCATGTGGTAGGCTCGCGCGCCGCCGCCGCAAAGTCACGCCGCCGCCAGAAGCTGAGCGTTGTGCGACGCCGCTTCAACGTGTTTTTCTACGCCACCGCCGCCGTACAAGTTTGTCTGCTTCATGTCTTTGTGCTTTTTCAGGAGTTTCCCTTGGGCTCTAAAAGTTACTTATTAATCTTAGTTTTTTTGTTATACTTCAAGCAAAGATGAATAAGTTACTTTTAGAGGCGATAGGAAGTTTCCGAAAGAGCGCAAGCACCACGTGATAAATAAGGACCAGTCACGTGATATATAAGGGCCACTTTTCTGCGGCGCCCGCGGGCGTCAACTACAAATTCGTATAGCGCCATAAATATAGCTCTAAAATATTTTTTCTTCGTTGTAAAATCGTTTTATGACATCCTTTTTCCATCTAAGCTGTTTAAAAAAAAAAGTTTTTTTTTATTTGCATGTGCTCTTTAAGAAAGATATCAATAACAATGATGCAGAAATTTTGAATTCCGCGTGACAACTGGTCACCTAACCAGATTACTCATTGAATCTACACAACCAAGGTTTATGCACTTTACAACCCCAAAATCTTTTTTTTTTTTTTTTTGCAAGTTTTGGACTATGCAGGAAGTTTCATTCATGCACAGTTCCGAGCACATCACGGCCAACACTGTGGTTCTTCTATTATCTACACTGGGCCTTGCCACAACGACGGTGGACAGTACTAGTTATGACAAGTCGGTTATATAAATATTCTTGGCAATTATGTGGCTGGAACACTATTCAAAGCTCGCTAAGATCAGCCATAGTGGTTCTGAGGTCATCAGTACGAAGGTACACACCTCTTCCTTCAGCTTTGCCTGGGGGATGACTGCTTTCTGAACTCTGTGAAGAGCCCTCTTGGTACGGGTGCCGAACACACGAAGAGACCTGGGCGACAGGAAGATTTAGCTAGAACATCATGTGGAACCCTTCACAAACATGACAAATCAACAGATAATTATATCTAAAGTTAACAAAAGATGTGAACATGCCAACAAGAAGAGTAAAGTAGGTTCTTTAAAGGTCTATACACACAATGCATCTTGTTGGCGAATCTTGTGTCTCAAAACTAGGCTTCGGGAAACAAATTCCCCGTCTGAACGCGACCAAAAAAGTGGCGCGCCTCCGAAAAAAGTGGCGCGTGTTCCCCGCTTCTGGAGCAATTTTTCGCTGAAACCTCACTGAGGCCTTTCAATCACCCAAAGGAGAAATGCGGACGCTGCCAATGGCCGCTCGACTTCGCTATGACGTCTGACCTTCGAGGAGGAGCGAGCTTTTGAAAGAGTCTGATTTCTGGCCATTCCGTATCCGAGCCAAAGCCTAAAGAAAAAACAAACAAACATGGCCAGCAACGGCGCCTTAGCAGTACGGGTTGGTGACACCGTGCAGATTCATCAATATGTAGTCGCGACGAGTGCAAGCACAGCATATAAACATGATGGCTGAGGATAACTTTCTTTTAGCGGTGCAAAAATGTCTGAAATGCTTTGAGATCATCCGCCTGTTCTTTGACGTTCGCGGTCTTTCCCGGGTTTGGCAGGACTAGTAAACCCAGTGAGCCGGATCTGACGAAGTTTATTGAGTGGTATTAATAAAATAGACTGTCTCTTCACACTGCGCATACTTTGTATCATTCTGATGCGAAACGTTTGATATTCCCGGTGCAGATGACAAGGTTTGGCAAAATTCTCGTGAGTCAATACGTCACAGGTTTTGCACGTCAAACTCCACGTGTGAACAGGCCGATTTCGCGAAATCTCCATTTCGCTAAACCAGGGGTGGAACTCATCAAATGTATTTGGGAGCAGTCACGGGAGCAGCTGAAACCGCTGTTTTGGAGCAGGTTGGGAGCAGCTAAAACTACATTCTGGAGCAGGCTAGGAGCAGCTCAGATCAGTTTTCATTGCACTTCAGCTTGTGTCTTAGACGAGCACGGGAGCAATTTCAATAGTGCTTAGCAGCACAGATGAACATGAGAGGTTAGGAACCTAGGTAGATGGGATAACACATAACAGTGTAACAGATGCGAAAACTTGGAACTTTGTGAGCCTTAATGAGAGCCAAAATGCAAGTACCATACGTTTCTGAAGATAATGTACTTGATATTTTCTGAGTGGCTTTCAGCTGCTCAAGATGCAAACCAGCACTGCTTATCGCACAACTCACGTGCTCGACATAGTAATTATATGTGCGAACCACGTGACGTGCGTAACCAACGGACGTGCAGCTGCGTGGAGGAACAGGGCAACAAATTTCGAGTTTATCCTATTGTGCAACTCAATATCGAAGCAGCAGACTACGATTAACGGAGTTATCGTATTCGAAGCGATAAGCAGGAGCAAGGTTAACGTATGCCGAGCAGATCTACCGCTCGCGTGAGAGCTGCTGGCCGGCAAGGTTTCGGATCGGACTGCGTTTCAGATCTATCAAATCACGATTTATCTTGCAGGAATGCGGTTCCAACTTCTAACGATGAAGTGCTCAAAGGAATCTTTTGCTCATTTGTTTTCAACTGACTGACGTCCGGATCCCGGGCTTCGGAGCCTCAGGCAATCTGACGCTTAACGACTCGACCTTACCTCGACCGACTTGCTTAATCACTGATGGTTGAAGAATAACAATCCAGTCGCATGCAGGTGGTGTAGCGCTTGGAATCCGATCCCCGAGTTTTTAGGCGCGCTTCCGACTCGAGATACATAGGGAGAATAAACAGAACAAAGGATTGCAGGGCCGACCAAAATGGCGCAGGATGGCGCAGACAAATGCGTCTGGCGCAAAATGGCGCAAATGGCGCAGCCGTTCCACCCCTGTAAACTGTGGCGCGTTGAAAAGATGAATCGTGTGAATAAGCCTTAAAATGTCCCGGGCTAACTTCGTACGTCTTCAAAGGATTGCTCGCTACTGCGTTTAGAAACATCAATGTTTGACTGTTTCAGGACGATCCAACAGTTTGGGCTGTTGAGTGTCCCAGTTTGGAACTCCGTGGTACAGATTTGATGAAGTAGATAAGTTTACTTAGTGAATTATTGCAGACAGACCTTCAATTGTTATTAATCTGTTGCAGAGCTTGAATTTCCGTAGGTTTGCACCTCCACTGGTCCAATCTAACACACCTGTGCAACTTTTTTTTTTTCTCTCTCTCCAGTATCAATTTGTAGGTTTTGCCTGTTGCCAACCAACCAAGTGACAAGTAGACTACTGGTGATAAATGGCCCACAAATGTTTGGAAACCCTTTTAACAAACATATACTTCAATTTGTCCTATACCTGAGGGCCTTTTTTTTTACTTTTTATGACCAGGTAGTGATATCCTTAGATGCATGCATACCTGTCTGAACTTAGAGTTGCAAAGTAGATGTTGAGCGGATCCCAAGCCACACCCTGTACAAAGCCTTTGTTCTCCTTGAGCACCGAAACACTCTTTCCTGCAAAGAGAACTTCTTAGCAACACCGCAAAAGCAGAACCACATAGGTATAGCCCCGATGCAAAAAAATTAACAGCACCACATGACAGAGTTTGTTTTTTTGAGGAAATTGGTTTGGTTCATTCAGAGATAATAAAGGGGAAGAGGGGGAGAGTGTGAAAGCTGTTTATTTCTTTACTGCATGAGAACTTGCAGCTAACAAATTCTTACCACCAATTAGATGGGTTAGCAATTTCAAAAAGCGGTTCTGCATAGTACCGCATCATTTATATCCTTCAGCGCGCAGGGGTAAGTCATGGCACTCCGGCTCTTTATAGCGTCGAAGTTAGCGGTGACGCTGCACTCTTTGATTCTATTTAAAGCAACATTCACACACCCCTAATTAAAAGCAACTGTAAGTTGCTGTTATGATGCCACTGATTGTTCACTTTTTTGCTTTCATAATGATATTCCTCCACCTCTCGCTTTGCTTTGAGGGGCCCACCCCCATCAGCTGCGAATGGACTGAATTATGATAAATGGCTAATTCGAAGAAATGCCAACAGGCTAACAGCACTCGGAAAGAAAAATAAAAAAAAATCAAGTATTGTTGTGTGGAGCCATACTGTACATGAGCCTATAACAAAAGTCACAAACCTTTTGGCACATCCCACACAATTGCTGCATTGTCGACTGAGCCAGACACCAAAAAGGTGTCATTAGGTGACCAACTAAGGTCACAGATGTCCTCAAGGTGACCCCTAAGGAAAAAATGTTACACCTGTCAGCATCTGTAGCTCCTAGTCATCCTGTGCAGCACAGCTATGATTCTGTTACTCAGTAATAACCATAAATTGTGCATCTCTTATAGGCCTTTTGTGAAACACAATTTTTGGTGCTTCTACCATACATTTAATGATGGCACTCCTATTCAGAGCTCACTTTGAAAAAAAAAAAAAAAAAAAAAAAAGCACTTTTGAGCCTTAGTTGGTTGTGGGTGCTCTATGCGCTCCATGCGGGAACTATAGGGGGCCCTTTGAAGAATGCGCGTAGCTCCGCTAGCGGAGGAGCTGGCGTTCGACAGTGAGGCGCGCTCAGCAGCCTGCAGCGCTTTTTCGCGTGCGAAGCTGTGGCGGAACTTTTGCTTTTTGAGTCGATAAGTTGAAAGTGACGTTGCATGAGTGCTGGGGCAGACCTAAGAAAGGCATTTAGCTGTTCTCCGCTTCTTATATATATTGAGTTTGAGTCGTTATTAGGGGTAATTTCTTTAGTTGCGGTCGAAAAAGGGGTGTGAGCAATTTTCTGAAAAGCAAGACGGCCGCCACCATAATTGCGCTCAGTGGGAAATTTGTTTCGCTCGTCGCTGTAAACGTAGGCCTGCTGGGCTGATGATATTTGGAGGCGAATGAGATGTTCACTAAGTTTGTGCACTAAGTGGGCCAAGTTTTATTAATACAGCAGATGTGAAAGTTATGGTTCGAACGAATAAAGGAATAAAACTGTCAGGAATATCCAATATTGGACCCAAAATGTTGTGTTATAACCGGGCTGTGTAAAGTGCAGATTTGGACACACAGCTTCTTGGACATGACCGTAACTTGACACAACAGTTATAATACCCAAAATAGGTGGCATAGGGAAACCAGGTGGAAATTTGGTTTCGCGGCATAACTGAATGGGAAACGGTTTTGACCGTGAAAGGGCTGTCAAGAGAACATCACTCGTCCTGGGAGATGGAGACTTTACAGGTAGGAAGGGACTAGTGCACTGTACTCCCAATTGAAACAACTTTACGAAAGGTGGCTTCAAAGCCCAGAAAACCAAATTGCCGGCCAACACACGGTTTGGCCGTCAAAGGCTTTTGCGGTCAGCTGTTGTGTTGTGCGAGGTGCCGATTTTCGGCACACAGGTACTTGGACAACCGTAACTTGACAAAACACTTATTATACCTGAAAGAGGTGGCATAGTTTAACGAGGTGAAAATTTTTTTGGGCGGCGTAACTAAATGAGATCCGGTTTTGACCGTCAAAGCATGTCAAGAGAATACCACTCATCATGGCCGGGGGGTCCACACTTTACAGGTAGGAAGGGACCAGTGGATGGTACTTCCAGTTCGAACAACTTTGCGATAGGTGGCTCTAAAGCCGAGGAAAAAAATTGTTGTTTCCAAGACTGGGGTGTCAGCGTTTCCACATCCAAAAGGAGGCTGATCAAAAAAGAAAGCACACCACATAAACTTCCATACTCAAACATTGATTGTTCAGTGATTCCAAGTTTCATTGTAGTTTTCCTTAGATTCATATTTGTCACTTTTGTATCGTCCGAATCTTTCTTCATGAAGTACAGACTGCGTGCCATACTGGTTCGGAAATATCATCGACACGTACGACGGGGACGAAACTTTTTTGGAGGGTATTCCTTCAACGAAATTCGCACAGCATACCCGCGAGTGTGGGATGGCCTTTCAGTTCGAGCTGGGATATGTAGGCGTTACTGGTACGAAAACAAACACAGAGCGCAAAGCGGCAGTGAAGAATATGTCAGCCGTGCCGACACAGTGGCAGACATGATCGGGAGACCAAATTTTTTGTGTCGTACGGCACGAGTCTATTGTTGTCGCTCTCCCACAAAACATTGGCGAGGTGAAAAACTGTGAAACTTCGTCCCCACGAGATACGACGCATAACTATTTGAGCACTTAACGACACAGCATTTCATGCTGTCAACCCAGCGCAACCGCACCACTCCGACTTTAATGCGTACCAATGTACGCGGCGTGGTTTCGTTTCGCTGGAGCTCTCACTGTATACCTTCGGTAACGGCCGCGCGGCGGCGCGCCGGTCGCGTCGCACGGAGTGTATAGTACCAATACAGTACTTCCAGTATTTTCACCAGTACCGTAAAACCCTGTAAGGGCGACCATGCACAATGAAGGGATAAATGGTGAAAAACATGAGATGGGCTATCCTTGGGTATGAGGCAGAAAATCTTTATCAAAAATTAGTGATAAACACAGGGACACCCGCTGTGACATGGGAACTGATACCGCAAATCGCGGACACAAAACGCTTGGGTTTCGCAGCGCAAAAGTATGCTAAGAACTCCTGTGTCATGAGAAAGGATATTTAAATGGCAACTTCACTTCGTTTTTGATATTTAGAAAACTATGTAGCCCTCTTCAGTATCATATAGGACACCCCATGTCAAATATTACGATCTAATTCCGTCTATATATTTAATAAACTGGCCAGCAAACCTTCAAGTGAGCCAAGTCGTCGAAATCTGCCAACTCTAGTGTGCAACGTGAGGCGCAATCGTCAGCGCAGTCAATGCGACGGAGTTGGAGCGGCCAACGTTGAGCCACTACGTCAGAGGCATGACTATGTCATTCTCACGTTTTGTTTGTTTTTACTTTTCAGAGCGAAATTGAACCATGACGTCATGAGTTTCTCCTCCCGGTGTTGGCTGAACAGCGTCCACGTGATCACCGCAATGCGGATGCGCTAGTTTGCGCTGCCCTGCGCGCTTATCGGTCTGTTTCTCCGCTACCCCTCTCCTCTTTCGTCTTCTCCCCTTCCCTCTCTCCCCCGGGCCATCCCCGTCCACGCCATGCGAAGCGACCTGCCCGCGTCGCGTGTCCTGTCCCTCGCCCCCCCGAACGTCACAGGACCACGTGGTTCGACGTGACGTGGCCATGACTCTGAGGACACGAGACTAATGTTGCCTGACGCAACCAAAGTTTCGGTTTTGGTATCAGCTGATGTTTAAATTAGGATTACACAAATAATACTCCACATTTCGCGAATCCAAAGACGTAGAGCTGTTTAGTAGTGCTTTGTGAAATGAAATCACATGTAAGCCTAATTTTTTCGGAATTGAGCGGAGTTGCCCTTTAAGCACGTGGATATCAACAGCAAACTTGCGTGCCACAGGAGCTGACATAGTGTGTGCAGGTCACGGACAAAAAAACGTGGGAACTCCCTATTACCTCGCACGTCACGAGAACAGACATTGCGAACACTGATCGCGGACAAAACGGGGGAACCCACTCTGGACTCGCTTGTCACACGTATCGTAACAGCAGAGTTGATGCGATTTTCGTCGGACGTCACATGATGTCCAACGAAAATAGGGGGAGGGGGGGGGGGGTTGAGCAATGTTTTGGAATTTTTAAGCTATGAAAATTTAAGAGAAATAAATGGGATGGGCGATTTCTCGGGGGAGGTGTTATGAACCGGCGCCGCCGGCAGGTAGACTAAGCAGCCAATGCCGCGAGCCTTGTGACAATAGCGTGCCAGCGAGAGCTTGGGCCCTTATTCCTGGGCCGAGAACCGTGATGGACGCACCGTCCACACTGTAAAGCTTGTATTTAACAGGACGACACCCCTACAGGATTTTACAGTATGGCACCAGCGATGCTGCTTCTATTGCCAATAAAACAGTGTTATTTTTTTTTTTTAAAGTATATTTTGCAATAATAATTGGCTTGTTGCTGGCTTGTAAAACCTGTCATCACCAAAGATGCAAATTGTGGTGCACTTCGTACCTGAGTACCTTGTGAACAACCCAGTGCTCCTTGTTCTCGATGGACTCATCAAACAAATCGCCAGACTCCTTCTCTTGCTGTTTCCAAAGGATGATGTTGGCCTCTGTATCATTCCATCAAGTGGGGAAAGGCGCGCTTTACTTAGGGGACTCGAAATGAGGCGATACCCAAATAAACAACGAACCATTTCCCATAACTGGTGTTTAGGGTAAGAAAAAGGATGTGCCCAACTCTTACCGTCATCCCCAGAAGCGAGAAGTTCACCTGAAAGAAAAAGTAAGTCCAGTATGCAATCTTGAGACATTCAGCCAAGTTATGAAGGCTAAGAAATGGTTGGCTTGCATTCAAAAGCCAAGAGAGCTATGGGAGATTGCTGGGCTAAAGGAATTGAAATTAATTTGAAGAACCTACAGCACCTGGAAAGCCGTAAATATAGAGGGCAGTAATAGTTAATTATGAAATGAAAAGAATCAGCTCAGCTAACCAGTTAAAATAACATAAAAAATTCCTTGTTCCTTGAATGAGTCCACTGTTCACAAGGATGCACGGATTTGTCAGTATACCTGTGAACAAAACTGGATACACACAGAAACAACTTGTGCAGGAGCCTTGTTATTCAAATGACTGAGGAAATGACTGAGTAATCATCATCACTAGCCGTGGCACCGAGGGCCTCCATGGTACGGGCTGTCGCCTTTCCACAGTGCCAAGGCTCTCCTAAGCCAATAAAGATCATTATTATTACCTGCCACAAAACGTTTCTTTAGCTTGCTTAGCAAGGCTTCCACAGGCACTTTAGACGGAATCCTTTGTGAATTCTGCATATAAAACCCTTTATTTTCATGGTTCTGATTTGTCCCGAGTCGGGCAGCGGGCTCATATTTGCGACCATGAAGTTTCGCGAATTCTAAAGGCTGGAATTCGCCTTTCTAGCCAATAAGAGTATTCACGCGCGCGCGCGCCCCCCCTCCCCTCCCCCCCCCTCCCCCCCCCGTCCCTTCTAAAGTTCGCGAATTTTCGAAGTCGCGATCTTCGCGAAAATTAGGGGCTCAGGAAAATGCAGTGTGTTCACGATAAAGTTGGACCTTTTACAACTCTGCATGCCCCTCGGAAACCATAAATATAACACAAAATAAGAAACAAAGTAGTTGCCGCGGCACTGACTCACCGTTATTGGAGAACCTAACCACGTTCACGGTCTTCGTGTGCCTGTTCAGGTCGGAGCGGAACTCTAGACTGATGTTCCCGTTGTTGTGCAGAATGACGAACCACACCTGGGGAATTCCAGTGGTATTATCACGCGTGACCAAAAAGCGTTACAAAAAAAAATTTAAAAAAAAGGAAAAAGAAAAATCACGGTATGCACCATGACATGGGTGTCGGAGCCACAACTCGCCATCCTTCTGTGTTTGTCAGCGGAAGGCTGGAAATCCACGCTGAAGATGGGGTCTCGATTGTGCCAAGAAATTTCCGGGACATGACACTTCATTCCTGAAAGAGCGGTTATTATGTAAGAACTCGAGCCGGCTCCAGGCATTCCCTCACAAGTTCAGACGTTTGATTACTTTTTTTTTCTTTCTTTCCCTTCTCACTTTTAGCACAAGCTCGCGCCCAGTGAGATGCTTGTGAACGAGTCCGACGAAAAGTGACTGACTTGCTTGGACCAGTTGTAAGCGCGAAGTAGTTACCAAGGTTATCAAGGGGTGTTTGAGAGCTTATACGTGAATCTAAATCCTGATTTGTAATCGAAGTTTTTACATACCTTCAGATTGCGACTTGAAAAGGCGAGCATGCAAATACGCGCAAAAACCACAAAGCGCGCCAAGTGAAGCCTCCTGGTGAGCGCTGTGGGCGTGATGCAAAATCCCCGTTTAATATAAAGAAACAAATGAGTTGCCTCCAGGTTCAAAGCTCCGTAAAATATCTTCTAAACCAGACTAAATAATATTAATTTGACAAATTGATATCAACTGAAACGCTTTGAAGTGAACATTGTCAACTCTGGCTACTTCGAGTGGACGAAAAACATGAGTGGTCAAAACCACTGTGGTCAAAACGTCGTGCTTGCGCGCTTATGGTGTGTAGTCGGTGTTAGAGCACTATATAGCTCCTACGGAGCAGAGTAGCGCAATCCTTTGAACCCCGTGTTTTGCCGACAACATGGCCGACCAGGGGGGTAAAGGTGCGTGAGGAGGAGTGGCAAATCCCGTGCGCCGACATCCTGGGTCCCGAGTGAACGATCGCAAAAGAGAGCGACAGAACACGAGAGAAAGAAAGCAACGTTGCCATGGTAAACACGGAGAGTGAAAACTCTCAGCAATATAAACAGTGATAATTTAACGTTGTAAACTAAATTCTGAGCTATTCTAACGCTTATAAAAAGCAATAAAGTCATTACGCTGCATTAACTTCCCTTCTGTCGAAATCTCGGAAATCTAGTGGTTGCGCAGTTTCGTATTCCTCAACCGCGCCCAGCCGCGCCCCACCGCCCCACCAGCGAAGCCGGGTATATGGTTTAGTTTAGCGTTAACGCGAGGCCGTACATCTGCGCGCTATGCAAAAAGAAACCTTCGAAAAGAACGCGAGTATCTTTCCACCGGTAAGTTCGTGGATTGTTGAAGTTCACGAAACTGCTCTGATGATGTAACCGTGTTTGGGACCCAGAGGGTCTGCCTGCATGGTCCGCCGCTTGCGGCAGCCAGAATGTATGGGAAAATGGCGGACCTTTTCCTCTAGATTTAGTATATGATCTCTATGTGGCCGACAGAGCGGCTCGGCGCGAGTCACGTGGTGCTCAGGGTTCCAGGAGGCGTGGAGATCGACACAACACGGCTGATTAAAAAATGCACGGCGAGTTCACACTTTTCAAAACTAGTCTGTCGTGAAGTTAGTAAAGCACTAAACCATTTATCAAAGTTTTAATAATATCGGATGCGTGTGCAAATTTTGAGAAGGCAATTTCCAAAGCAATGGCGTTTGAAGCAGACGATTTTTGCTCGCAGCGGAGATGGGCTTTTCGGGTTGGCCGGAGCGGGTCACGTGAATGGTGTGATGTCGCCGTGTCGTCTGCTGCATGATGCCGCTCAGGCAATTTTTTAAAAAAAGTCACGTCCTTGCGGGGCACAAAACTTAGCACAAATTATTTTAAAATGTTCCATTATTATGTCAAAAATAATTGCCATTCCGTACAACCCCACAATACTGAAGAAACAACGATTTTCTCACGTTCTCCATGCATTTCTGACCACAGTTGGAACCTCCGGGCGTTCGCCGCTAGTCGCCGAGAGGCGGCGTTCTAGATTGCGCTACTCTGCTCCGAAGGAGCTATATAGTGCTCTAGTCGGTGTAGTTGACTGCGCCATCCCCATTTGCCATTGAGTAAAGCTATACGCACTCCGGAGTGCGCTTCGGACGGAAATGGCTATACGCACTCCGCTTTTCTCGTATAAAAAGAGTGGACACAACGAGTTTCCCAAGCGGTGCCATGGCGTAGTGGTTAGGGAGTCCGCTTCATACGCAAGTGGACGCGGGTTCGATCCGCGGTGGGCCTATTTTTTTTTTTTTTTTTTTTTTTTTTTTTTTTTCTTTCTTTCTTAGACATTTTGTTTTGTTGAGGCATTTGGCGATATTTACGACATTTCCTTTTTTTGCAATGAACAGTAAAAAAAAAAAAAAAAAAAATCGAATGTTGTCGAGAAACTTTGCAGAACTAAATGGTATCGGACTCCCTTTCCGGAGGTGCGATCGGGGACAGCGGGGCTTGGATTGCCGGCTGGACGCCGCGAAGCGGCGTGTACTGGTTACGCTTAGTAATTAGCAGCCGATACTGTCGCCGCGAAGCGGCGTGAACGCAGGCGGGGGGCTGTGTTAACGAGCGCCCCAGTGATTCACGCGCCGTTCGAAAAGGGTGGCCCGAGCGGCATGATCTCTCGGAGGAGTGCGTATAGCCATTTCCGCGCGAAGCGCACTCCGGAGTGCGTATAGCTTTACTCTTTGCCATTTGCCTGAGTTGCCTGCGAAAAAGGCGTCAAGTCTTGTGCGTACTCTGTGTTGGGATCATCAGAACGCTAAAGCTATCGAAATGGTGTGCGAGAAATGCGAGAAGAAACTGGGCAAAGTGATCACCCCGGACCCGTGGAAGGCAGGAGCTAGGAATACAACAGAAGGCGGTGGCAGGCTGGTCAATGAGAACAAGGCGCTCACCGCAAAGAAGGCCCGTTTCACCCCGTACGGCAAATTCGCCGAGTGCCGTATTTGTCGCCAGAAAGTTCATCAGGTGGGCTCCAATTACTGCCAAGGGTGCGCCTACAAGAAGGGAATCTGCGCCATGTGCGGGAAGAAAATCCTGGAAACCAAGAACTATCGGCAAACGTCCACTTGAATGTCTCGGCGACACGGAAATAAGCGCTCTCCTTCGAACCCCTGCTGCGGATCCTCGACCTAGCTCCTGCGACCCATTCTCTTGCGTCGCTTTGTGTAAATATAACTCGTGTTTAACGTAACAAAAAGTTTAATGTGTCCCATACAGACCTAGCGAAGTTCCCAGTCGTAGCGATTGGTGTCAGCACCGCGCATTGTGCTGTTTTCACTTGGGATCCCAAGAGACCATGGAACTGGTCGTTCATAGCAAGCACAGAGCAGAAACACTAGCTAACTTGGAGAGTACTCCATTTGATTTACCGTTCGCCCGACGAGTGAGGTGCTCCTCGCTGCTCGCATGTCCATTTACCGCAGCTGATGTGGTCACGAGTCGGCAAATCTCTTCTCTTACGTTATACTGGGTTATACTGGGCCATGTTGTTAACCAAAACCAGAACATAGACTATCCATTCATTTAGCAACCAGTCAGTTTTCATCCCGAGTGAAAATTTTCCAGTGACTAGCAGCAATAATGAGTAGCGACACCGCTTCTGTTGAACCCGAGGTTTGGACAATGTTTTTAAATCTCTTGGTTGACAAGCTCCACCCGACCCTGTCGTTCCAAAACTGCCCTGTGCGCGAGCAGGTAATGGGCAGATAGCGATCCTGACACCACCAGCTGCATCGTTCCGACGGGCAGTGGAAAAGGACCGTTTTCGAATGACACTTTTTTTGCGCAAACTGTTAAGCGCCGTTTACACATACGCAACCGAGTAAGACTGAGCGGAACTGGTCCTAAGACGTCGCAAGAGGCTTGAAAACCGGTCTGGCCTCTCTCAGTCTTTGTTGGTTGCATATGTGTGAACGGCACTTTATGTTTACCACAAGAACCACAATAGAATCGCTTTCCACCATGCAACATACATCCAGCATTCCACTGTTTTCCACTGGTTCTGTCTCTTCTGACCACATGGGTTGGTCCGATAGTGTAGCAAACGCCACCGAGCAAATGCAACACGAATAGGTGCCAGCTGTTGTTGGAAGCTGTCAATTGACTGATTTAGTAACGCTGGGCTTGACTGGTTTGGCAGATGTTCAAACCGTGTTGCTCGATTTCAACACAAAACAGATTTTGAGAAAAAATATTGTAAACAAATGAATGATGACAATGACCAATGATTACACAATATAAAAGCAAACAAAAGCTTTTGATGATTTAGCTAGCTTTTAATAAAAATTATACATCCAATAAGTATTGCACCATTCCTCCACCAGGTCGAGGAATGGTGCAATACCTCGACCATCATGCATGCGCATGATAGTCGAACTTCAGCTGAACTTTGTCCCCAAAGTTTTGAAAAGTTGAATCGGGTTAAGCTTGAATTTCATTATGTTTGCGACACTCCTACTAAAAAGAATAGTGGTGTGAGCAGCATTTCATGCAGGGAATCACAGTACAGTAATACAAGCAAAAGTTTCGATTTATTCACATGTGAAACCTATTTACAACACCGCCTAACCTCTGACACCTTTGCCACCTCTCTTTTGTTTTACAGAGGCGAATACTGCTTCGAAATGAGCAGGAAAAATAAGTTATATCAGTCAGCAAAGGGCTGGTGGTTGTGATAATAAATAGATATGTACAAAAAAACAGAGTCCACATGTCCTGAAGCTTCTGCTATGCAGGGCGAGTAGTACACATTTCAAACACCAACAAAATGGCAGTTGTAAGAATTTTGGCAAGGCTGAGTGTGATACACACAAAAGTCTGTCTCAAGCTAGAATCTGGCTCGTCTGCAGAATGCCCTTGCAAAAAAAAAAGGCAACCACATCAATGTCCAACTCAACCCTCCAATATCATAATATACAGGTTGGGTTTTATATATCAAATATGCGGTCTGTTTGCAAGCCCATGTGAAAACATAACCCTAACTTATACATCGTAACCAAAATAAACTGAAGCATCTTTACACACCTTTGTTGATAAAGAGAAACATAAAACTCTAAAATCTTCCTCTTTAGCTCCTCCACATTTCATTACTTGAAAAATAATGTTTGTGAACACTCGATCAACGAAAGGGCACTGTTCAACCGGTGAACACTGAAGCCTAACAATGCGAAAATCTAAAACCAAAAAAGCAGCAGAAAAAAAAAAAATTGTGGCAAAATATATATATATTTTTTTTTTCGCCGTCCCTCTTTTTTGAGTTTCGATTTTTCATTGGCACACTTCGCGGCGACTCACCAGGCACATTATAATCCTCTTTTCCATCACAAAGACGTAACAACTCCCAAACAAACAATGCACAATTTCACTTGGATCTTGGTTCCTATGTTTGTTCTCTTACGCCCCCTATGCAATGCCGCCTCGCCGAGACGGCAAACAGATGGAGGTAATCTGGAATCCTGCTCGTCTCAAGGTGTTCCCCTCTATAAATAGCGCACAAACGTAATAGACTTTGCAGCACAAAGAAAACAGACCAAAAGAATTCTTGTAGCGTGCACACACAGCCAGCCCACAAGTACACACTGCCATTCCACATCCTAGAGCGTCTCAATCCGCAAACCCCCCGAGGGCTCTGCTTTCGTCAAGCCATGTAGATGAACTCGTTGATGTTCTCCTCGTCTCGCCGCATGTACTTGTGCTCTATGAGCCACTCAATCTGCTCCTTGATCATCTTCTTGGAAGGCAGGAACATGTTTTTCAATATTTCCACCAGTTCAGTTTGAAGCTGGGCATTAGTAATCCGCTTGCGCATCTTCATGATTTTAACAATTGCCTCCTGCAGGGAAAGGAAAAAAAAAGAGCAGTTCTGCATGAATCCACAGTAGGGACAACACCTTATCGGATCCTAACCTATCCCTGTATATCTTGCGCTTCATGGGGAGGAACCATCGCCAATGTCTGCTCCGAGAGTGACGTGCTCTTTTATTTTATACATGTGGAAGCCCTCTTACAAATGCAGCACGAGACTTGTGTGGTGTAACATAAAGTACCCGCAACTGCGGCCATCTAGTGGAAGCTGCACGAGACTTGTATAAGCAGCTGTCCTTAGTGCGTGCCGTTTATAAGGCGGTGCATCGAAGCAGCTGGTTTGGCTCTGTAGTAGTGTGCTCTCTTCACAATCGGCAAACCTGGGATTGAATCCTAAGAAAACTATGGCAAGTTTCGGGGATTTTCTTTTTCAAGCATTTAGCAATATCGACGATGAACACCTTACAATGCCTCACATCAACATTTTGAGTGTGGGGGAGAGAGCCTATAGACCTTTTTCATGACAAATGCCACCAAGCGGTGCTCCAGTCTTTGATGTTCCACAGAACTTGCAGTTCATAAAAAGAATGAACAAAGCCCACTTTAATACCGCTGCTTGAAATTTCATATAAACATTTAACCCCCGCCTCTCCAGGTGAACGCCAAAAAAACAAAGAAGCGCGAGACCTGTTAAAATTTTTCGAACATTTTTGTAACGCCGAAGGCCCTCGTTAAATCTCCAACCTCGTTGTCCGTGTAGCATTTATGCTTTCTAGCACTGGTGACATAAGCAAGCTCAACAGGCTCGCAAAGACGGTGCCGACCAGAAGTCGTTTGGGATGCAAGCGGCAGTTCATGTTTGTAAACAGCAAAACAATCTATAACTGCTGTCACTTCAAAAGGAACAATGCTCCGTGGCCCGATGTCCAACCGTGAAGGTCTCCGTGCATGCTCACCTGTGTCCTGAGTATCCTGAGCTGTACAATGCTCTCGTTGTCCTCCTCCTTGCTCTTCTCGGTGGAGAGCTGGAGTCGGCCAATCAGATTCACCTTGCCACGCTTCTGCACCTTGCCGTTTTTGCTGCAAGGAGGGGCACACTGCTCTGAGTACATTATTACAAGATAGATACCAAACTTTGAAGTGGGCAGGGGTATTTTGCACAATGCATATTCTTTTGTATTTGTATTTGATATCCAGTATGTAAAGTCCATCAAAAACATAATCAATCTAAACAAATCTTTTTAAAGGTCGAAACGAAGCTCAAAAGGACGAGTCCGCTCACTGGGCTTCTCCGAGCACAGAGGTGGAGTGTAAAGTACCTTAATTAAATACCTTGGTTCTTGTGAGCGTTCTCACATTGCCATAATAATCGTTGCTATTCTTGCTAACTCGAATAATCCTAGGCACTTGCATAATTTTCAACCGGTACTGCTGCACCATTTCAAATCTTCTCTTTTTTTTCTCAACCCTGTTCACATATAAAGAAGCTTATCTTCTATCTAAGCGAATCCTTTCACTGTACTATATTTCGCTCCAATGAATTCAAATCTGCAAAGATGGTTCACTTTTTCGTGGTGGAGTGGCAAGCTTACATGACTCCAAACTCCTGATTTATCCAGAACAGGGTGCCATCTTCAAAGTCCTTGGGGGACTTGGCTTCAAATCCACACAGCAACACCTGCCGCTTCAGTTTGGGGAATGCAACCAGAGACTGCAACAATAAATGCACCGCACTATAAGTAGGGTTTTGTGTTTTTGGTACACAGTGCAATCCACTTATAATAATACTGCATATAACAATGTACTGCTCGTAACGATCAGTCTCTAGAGTTTTTAGTTCAGATGCAACAATCATTGGTTATGATGATTGAATTCTCGGGTTTTTTCATTATCGTTATAAGGGGATTGCACTGTACTTATACCGATAAAGCTCGAAAGTAACCGCCAAACCGGTTCATCCAAATCACGGAAAACCAGAAAATTTTCAAGTGGGACTGTCCTTGAGTAAAGGGAAGCCAAACTTCACAGGGAGGTCTGTTCATCTACGGCTTTATCTTGTGGTGACCCAGAACAAAACCTACCGTAAAATACCGGGCAAGCGCCCACTCAAAATTTAGAGATAAATCGCGAAAAATGGGGGATGGGCGCTTGTCCGGTCATCAATTTTACATATCAATGTACTGTGCATATTTACTCGGATCTTACAAATTCAAAAATAAGCGCTTAATGTGGAATGGGCGGATGTGCGGTATTCTACAGTACAATGGACAAGGTGGCTTCTTTCTTCAGGAACACCACTTATATCTTGTTTCCTTCTATTGTTGACACTGGGAAATTTTCTAAATATGCATTCACATTCCCTGGAAGTTGGGGAACCCCATGCCCATGCCCGGTTTTCTTTAAAGTATGCCCCAGTAAACGCCGAGATTTTGTATGACGCTGGAAGACGCCAACTCTTTGAGAACAAATAAACCAAGAAAATACACTCCCGAATTAAAAGGAAACAAACCTCAAAAACAAGGAACGCTAGCTATAAGTTGTGGGTATTTATATCAGTGATGGCAATGGCAGCACAAAAGACGAAGAAGGAATCAAAAAGAAGACGAGAAAACACAAAATACCCAGAGAGTTCTCCTGAGTTCTGCGTCGGGTAGCTCCGTCGCTAACCGTAGGTTCTCGAAGGAGATGCGGTCGTATGGCCTCTGGTTCCAGGCAAACACCACAGCCATTTGGAAGGTGGTCACGTCCAGATCGAATTTGCCAACCTGGTTGCAGAAGGTTATCTGGAAAAGGGCACAGGATGGAATTCCAAGCCAGTCTCGTTAACACAACCATGTTTAAAACAGACATGTGCAGGCGGTGAGGGCCAAAGGAGATCGGAGAAATTGAGCAGCTTCGCTGACCCACAAGGACAAAAACAGGCCCGAGCGTACCGTTCCGTTGGACATGTGGTGGTACCACTGCAGTTTGCGGCCGCTGTGTTTCCGCCGGTAGAAGTCTTCCACCTCTGGGATGAAATCTTCGAGTTCGAGTGGGAGAGACACCTGAACCCGCTCGCTGCCACGGGCCCAAGCTCCGGCATTCAGGATCTTGATGTTGATGGAATCTAGAGAATGAGAGAGAGGCCCCGGTTCACATTCCGCCAGAATGCTCTCTCACATAAATAGATTGTTAAAGCAGAAATGCTATAGAGCAGACGGAATATGTTCTGCCAAGTCATCTCGCCAATGTTCAGCGGTAGCTCGCACGTTCCCCGCACTTATTTTGGGTACAGCATAATTGAACTGCTCAGAAATGTGCCTGGTGTGGCATACTTTCAGAAATACCTGACGAGCCTCACCTGACGCTTTCTGTGATCTATTAACGATGAGACAACAATATAAGTAATGGCTAATTCCAGAACAAACAATGCTTTTTAAAGCAGAAATGCTATAGAGCAGACGGAATAATATGTTCTGCCAAGTCATCTCGCCAATGTTCTGCGGTAGCTCGCACGTTCCCCGCACTTATTTTGGGTACAGCATAATTGAACTGCTCAGAAATGTGCCTGGTGTGGCATACTTTCAGAAATACCCGACGAGCCTCACCCGATGCTTTCTGTGATCTATTAACGATCAAACAACAATATAAGTAATAAGCTAATTCCAGAACAAACAATGCTCACAAGTATGATGAAAATTCACTTACCAGCTAGCAGCCCCTTGCTGTTCCTGTGGACATCCTTAAATTGCTGGTTGAGGTCTTCACTCACTTTGATGTCCTGAAACATCCTTGCAAGCTTGTTGACATAGTCGGCTGGCATGCCCACATCCTGGGAAAGAGGCAGAAACAAATTCACAATAGGCAGTTTTCGAATAGCACATGCTAAAGTTTTGCGTACGCAAAGAATAGCGTCATCACCACTGCGCATGTGCCAAAACCTAACTGCGGTTAATGCTATGTGCACGCTATTTTTCAGAAATTGCGCGCATATGCGAAGTGTCTTTGCACTCCTCCAAGGAGAATTTGTGATGAAAAGTTGGCTAAAGCCAAGACGAGCACAGTTAGAAAATAGCGGCTCCCAGGATCGCGACTGCGGCCGCTTTGGTGGCGTCGTGAGTGCGACGTCGACGGCATCCTTGCAATTTTCAAAACAGGACGACGTTGCACTCCTACAGGAGGTGCACGTCAGAAATGTTTTCGAAGACCCTGCAAGGTGAGCAACGAACGGCAAAAATTTGCTGCTTGCGACGCGTGAACGTTTCTCGGCGAAGGTGAGGCCTCTTTTGCCGAGGCGACGCAACAGGACACGATCAATTGACCATTCACGTTGATTTCTCATATTTAAACAAATCTAAAATGTTACTTTGAGAGTATAAAAACTTGTTTTTCCCTCCAGCTACAGCATTTCGTGTGTGAAATAAAAATTTTTATTGCATCTCGGTGGCGTTGCAAGCGCAAGATGCTTGGGCATCGCGGCAGAGAATAGCTATTCTAAAACACTCTTACGTAGTGTGCACTAACACAAGCGCTAGATTTAGCACTAGCGTGCGCTAAAATTGCGTATGTTATTCTAAAACTCTTTAATAAGATAACCTTTTCGCTTAAAGGTTCCACCAAAATGTTCTTCAACCTTTGTCTGCCACTAGGTGGATTGAGACATATGCTTGCAACTGTACAGTCCACTGCAGCATTAGAAGACTGTACCATTTACTAAAATATGTGGCACCAACTCGCCGCTGCACCATTACATAAGGTGACTATATTTTAGTCGCATAATCTAAGCAGGTAATGGACATGAGTGCTTCATCAGTGCTCAATTTGGATCTTATTCTAGTTACCATGACGGCAGGCACTTGGCTTTGGGCTGAAGTTCAATCACATGTTACATGCTGCAAGCAGACTGAAACCTGGCAGCTGCCAATGTCGATGTGGTTTTGAAAAGCATATATTTCACTGATAGATTATAAAGCATGCACATAGCTATGAAGGAATTGCAAAGATACCTGTGGTCGGGCTTTTAGCTTCTCCCCTACACTTTTACTGTTCTACAAACCTATTTCTTCATACTGTCATGAATGACAATTGATGAGGCAATGAAAACTGAAGCAAACTAAATGTTCAATAGGGCGAACTTGTCCCCAAAGCAAAATAGAAAAAATGACAGCATCTCCACGTGGTGAATGATGTTGATTGGGGTGAAGCTCCTAATCAACATCAGCTGATGTTGATTGGGAGTTGTTGATTGGGGCGAAGCTCCCAAAAAATCAGCTGATGGTGCTGATTTTTTTTTTATTGCTCATAGGTATACTCTGTTTCACCTTGTGTTGTACCGCAGGAAAGGCTAAACGCGCGAGCTCCTTCCTCTATGGCACATCTCGGCGGCACAAGCTCTCGTGCACCAAGGGCAGGTGCCAACGCTATGAGCTCGGGCTTCTAGCCTTCGCTGCGGTACAACGTAAGGTGAAACGGAGTATAGTGCTGAGTTCCGGGTTGCCTTTCGACTTCATTATTATTGCTTTATGGTCAGTGAAATGCAGAGCCAGTGGTTCTTCTAGCGGATCAGCTTGGATCCGCTAGAAGCCGTGGAAACGCATCTCCACCGCTTAAGTCAACGGTCCATGTCAGAAAGAGAATGTGTGGTATGGAACGTGGTTATATGCGCATTTGAGCATTTGACCACAGCGCCCTCTCGTCTATAAACCTTGAGCCAATGCAAGCAAAGTTTAACGCAATTATACACGCACTTGACCGCAGTGCCCTCTCCTGTATAGACGTGGAGCGGCTACATGCAAAGTTTTATCCATGACAGAAACCCGAGCTCTTCAATTACTACCACATCTCAGAGCCCCCTACTCGTCCCGCAGTCGCATGGCCGAGTGGTTTTAAGGCGATGGACTAGAAATCCATTGGGGTCTCCCCGCACAGGTTCAAATCCTGTCGACTGCGCAAACATTTTTTCTTTTTTTATGAAGACAGGTGGGATGGCAATCGATGAGAGCACGGACGCCGGACGGACAAGGCTAGACCCTAAGGAGCTTCGCCCCTAAAAAGGCTAGCGTCGATGGCGATGGAACAGCAAGATTGAACGCTGGGCCGAGACTATGTACAGGCGTGGTCTTCTGGAACAATCGGTGTATAAGGTTCGGCATGCAGAATATTCTAACCTCGAATAAGCAACAGGGTTCTTGAATTTATCAGAACACGACATACACAGAAACAACAAAAAGGTATAACCGCGGCCAGGTATCGAAGCTCGGCTCTCTGTGTGGGAGCCAAGTACGATAACCTTTCAGCCACGGGCACACTGCCTACTTGGCCAGCTGCGTGCACGGCAGTATAGCATTGGTGGCTAATTCCGTTCGCCCCCATGGCAGTAAAGGTAGATTGTAAATTAACTTTTCTTAGTAAAGCTCTAACGAAAGTAATTAACAATTCAGTATTCACCCTAAGCCATTCAACCATGTTCTCTTCCTTCTCACTGTCGGCAGAAGAGTCCAGGATAAGCCTCCGTGTCAGGTGGGCCTTGTGGTAGCGCATAAACACGTCCTTGTTCTGTACGTACCGCAGCACCAGAAGCTGGAAAGGAAAGCAAAGGTGGGAAAAATTGGTGGCCTCTTCTCAGCAGATATCTCCAAATCTTCACACTGGCAATCAACCCTAGGAGTAGCAGTATCTAGTTCATTTTTAGTCACAATGGCAGTGTGCATAAATGTGCTTGCAAGAAAAATTTTGCACTCATAAAAGCCAGCTTGGTCAAATCTACCATAGTCAGTGCTGGTTTTTGTAAAACATAGAAGTAGAGACGAGTTCTACTGACCACTTCCTTGAGCTTTGCCTCAATCTGGTCCGAGGTAAGCTTTTTGCTAAGAGGTGTCTTGCGCAGCAGCATGTCGCAGTAGTTCGCCAGAAGCTCGGGACAGCGAGACTCTGGCTGGGTCTTGTTGGCCACCCTGAAATCACCACCAGGAGAAATAAACAGTCCAACTCTAAGAATCATGGTGATCCACGTGAGAAGAGCTTTTTTAAAGAGGTTCTGACTCCTCAGTGTCATCTGTCGCTAAATGAACATGGGAACAATGAAGTTTTCAAACTGTTTCAACTTCTCACTCCAGCAGAAATCATTTTAAACAGATTTAATTATCCAAAAAGATACCTATTGTTGCAGTTAGGCCTGAAGGTGTGCAGGAAAGACATGCTCCAGTCCTGTCACAAGAGTGTGGGACAGTTTGTTACATTGTATGCACAAAACATAACAAAGGCAAAAGCCACAACTTGCTCTGAACTAAGAAAAAAAAATAAGTTCATCCTGCTGACAGGCGACGGGTCGATGCTCAGTACACAAGTACCTTTTCTGGAGAGTCAACCTGCATATATTGCCATGTGCATGATTGAGAAGAAATGCTTCTCCATGCATCTAGAAGTTTTGTGTTTATTCTTGCCCCGAGTGAAAAGATAAGGAGGCCAGAATGACCTTGCCTAGTCAGTTTTGCCCTAGCTAACTCCGAACATTCTAGGTCGAATATTCGAGATGACGAGTGTAGTCGATAAGCAGCCGAGAGTGGTATTGCCGATTCATTCGCTGATTCACTCTTGCATTAACCAGCTGTCACGCCGACGCACCGTCGCTCGCTGCCGCTGCCACTGACGCTCGCTGCTGCTTTCTCGGCGTTTGTTCTTCCTTTTGTTTCTGACACAAGTTTGCCGATTGAACCTTTATTTTCAGTTCATTATTCATTGTCTCGTCGCCTTCGTCCAGGACAGTATCAACACATACACAATGATTGCAATGGAAATGAGTCAGACAAACTTCAAATAAAACTTGAAGAACTTGGCAATTTGTGGCACAGCCTCGCAACAGATATTTGATAGAGTACCTAACCACTGAGAAAACATATCAGTACTGGATGACATATTCAACTCTGATACCCCTCTACACAAACAACACTACAAACAAGTGTGAAGGGAGGAGTGCATATGTCTAACCTGTTTATGCAGCATGCAGGGTATGCATAACTTGATTTCACCGTAAAATGAAACATCTCACCCTTTCTGCTTGGACGGAAGTTCTAGGCGGAACACAGAGGTATCATTAACGACTTGCTTGAATGCCTGGGATGAAGCAGCGGGTAAAAACACAAGAGCTCTGATGAAGGGGGACAGTTCAGTGAGAGGGGACTCAGTCATACCTTGTCTCTGGCGGTCAAGAACCGGGGGTCGTCGTTGAACGCCTCTTTGACTAGCAGGCTGAACCTCTCAAACAGGTCCAGCAGTTGTTCCACATACTTTTCAGAATCCTGCATGCACAAATTACCCAATCATGATTAGTCAAAATGATGCGTGCATGTAAAATAGAGTAAATACCATTTTACTGTTCTCTTCCATTACGGGTAAAAAATTGCTTATGAAGGGCACGATGACAGATCATTAAATATCATCATTATCGGAGCCCTCTGACAAAAAGTGTGGTAATCTCATGAACCTGTCTGAAGGACTCTTTGTGTTGCAGATGTGCCTCAACACTGCATAGCTCCCTCAACAGAGTGTCTATTGCCCAAATCGCTAAGACATGCAATGTCCTTCCAAAACTGGTCCCAGATTGAATCATGCTTACATGGGACTAGCCTTCAACTTGCGAATTGCCCAGCTCCCATGCCACCAAAGTAGGCAGGCACCAACGTCTCCCTTCCATCGGCCTCCACAAAACTATCATTGGTATGCCACAAGCAACATACGCGTGTCGCTTTGTCTTTAGGCCACCAGGCTCTGCTAATATATCTGATCCGCTCGAAAATGCTGGCAAGCGAACTTGCCGCGACAGCTTCATGTTTTAGCCGCCGGGTGTCGTTGACTTTGCAGAAGTCGCCAACACCTTTCTTACAGGGTGGTAGCTAATGCCGTCTAGCCTATATATCGTGATAGCAATCAAGGTGGCCAGGCCAACTGAGCTCTCTTGTCAATGCGATACCTGGCGCACAGCCACGTCAGGGCGTGTCCGACCCCGACCAAACGGAAACACGGGGCAGGCACCTGCGTGATGACGTCGGCCGAGGCGAGCATGTCTGCCAGACCCTGCGACTGGATGTGCTGCTCGAGGTCCCTGAGCATGGGCAAGACTCCGTCGGACACCCGGTCCATCAGAGAGAACATGAGCTGGAGGCGGGCAGTCTCCCCTGCCCGAATCATGCCAGGGCACTCTGCCAGGATGGACTCCCGGAAGGCAGTGACCAGCACCCCGACGCAGCACTCTGTCAGGGCGGGCACCGACCCGGAAGGCTGCGACTCAAGGTACTTGGCCGCACGCTGCTCTTCTTCCTTCAGCTTCTGGTCGGCATACCTGCGCCGGAAGAATGGCCGTCTCAGACCCTTCCGCATGATTCACCTCTGCTCCAGCCTCCGGTGAATGGTTCACGGAAGCCGAGAAGGGCAGTTGGCGACCCCAGAACAAGCTGTTGCTTCGCGCGTGTATATGATAGATGGAACAACGTCACAAACGAAAAGATTCAGACTTTAGAAAACGGAGATAGAAAAAGAAGGGGTGTGTGCCCTCGGATGAAAGCACCTATATATTTGAGCTGGTCGGAGCCTAAGCATATGACTGTAATCAGCCATGCATCCTGGTGCTGAGATTGCCCTTGGACACATGAAAATGTATTTTCTGCATTTTTTGATAATGACACCCGACGATTCTCTAGGTGTCAAGGAACAGCACCACAAAGTGTATTTCGATGTGTCCACGGCCTGTAATATTCGCTAACGTGCGGAACAAGTTTGTAGTGGGTGCCAAATTTTCTTTTTTAACTTAGGAAAACCATTTTAGTTGAGGAATGGCTAGAATAAGACACCACATAAAAAATGCTAGCTCCAACACAAAACCATCCGCTTCCCCCCTGCCATTTTCATAAAATACTTCGCAGCAACGCAACCTCTGCCTGCACCACCATTGCACTCTTTCCTCGTATTCAATGCATAGCACCAGTTCGTGTTGGTCTTATATAAACAGCTACTGCAACCTTAAAGACCGAGGACCAGTTCGCTTTTTTCCCTCACTTCCTCCTCTCTCCCCTTCTACCCTGTCCACCGGTGCCCGTTTCCTTCTGCCCCATGGCAAGGAGGATCTTCTGCCTTGCAGAATCTCAAGTCCGGTTGTCAGCCTTTAAGGGGACACACCCCCTGGGAGGGTCAACATTTGAACCCTTGGCTTAAAGTAATGAAATTAACCCCTTAACTGTTATTCATTTTTGGCATTTTTAACCCTAAACCTCTTCTTTTTTTTATCTTCCTATCTCATGATTTCAGTTACTCCAGGCATAAAGCCCTATTATGATTGAACGACAGAGCAAACAGAAACATTTTATTGGAGTCGATTGTAAATGCTTTGTTTTTGGGGACAAGTTCAACTAACTCGTACTAAAACAAAAGAATAAAAAACCCGGAATGAAAAGGAAGGCTGTCTGGGCCCCTAAGGCAACTTCGCGGGCATGTGATACAGCTCGAAACACGGAATTACACATAGAGCCTTAGTGGCCGAGCTCTCGTTGTCGACGAAATGAAGCATCCTCATGATTGAGCTGGTACCGGTTACCGCTCATCACTTCTCCAAAGATGGGCATGTGCAGAAGCTTGTTCTTCGACCAGTACCACTCTTGCTCCGGTTTTCGAACAATCCCTTGCAACAGCAGGAGCGACAAGAATGCCCGCATCTCCTCCGTAGTTGTTGGTACCCATTGCTTGAGGCGAGAATGCTCGCGGAGTTGGCTGGCGTTGAGTTTTTGCTCAGTGTATCGGTTGGTTTCCCTAACCATCAGCGAGACCAAGCCGTTGTCCAAGAAAGCTTCAAAGTACTCAAGCATGTCAGTGGTTGATCGAACCGAAAATGTCTTACCCGGCCTGCCGAGAAAAGGGAACCGAGGGGGTGCTGGTGCAGCACTGTTCATGACAATCTTCGACCACTGCCGAGCATTGGCAATAGCACGATCTGGATCGTCGTCGTCCTCCGCTTCGTCCGAGGAGCTGCTGAGTTCGACGTCATAATCACTGTCTTCTTCACTTGAAGAACACAAGTAGACGTCAGTGTCCATGTCGCTATCGAAGTCTTCCTCAAAAGAAGCTTTTCTTTTCCCTTTGGATAGGCCCGGGCTACACAAATCACCACCAAAACAAGAAAAAGACAAAACACAAACAAAACGGATGCAAAATTGCCGTTCCTGTGCTGCCATCTGTCGGCAGCATCTCAAACTGCGTTATGAACGAGCCTGGGTCGTCTAAAACGGCGAAGGGACGAACGACGCAGGACAGACGAGCTACAGTCGTCCTAAACGGTTTGGGCACGGCTCGAGATGGACGAGCTAGGCTCGTCCAAAACGGTTAAAGGGTTAACAGGGTAGCCTGGCAGTCATGCTAGAGGGTGCATAACAAAATTTCAGGTCTGTCGGTTAAATGGGAAGAAAATTGAGCAGCTTCTATCAGCAACATGCCTACATTGTTTAGTTATTCTATCGTCGGAAAACTATCACAACATTCAAGATTTTTATTTGCTAGCTTTTGCTTAATCAGATGGCATCCACATAACTACCTCTCAAAAGCACAATTGTCAATTATCGAAGCAAAGAAAAAAAAAAAGAAAGGGATGAGATGGAAGAGTTGAGAGGTTGTTCCACACCTCATGTAACTCTGAACGCCGTTCTCCTCAAGGAACTGGGGCGCCTGTGCCCGGTAGAACTGCCGGGTGGCGTCGATGTAGGCCCGCTCAAAGTTTTCCCGGTAGATCTGCAACTTGTCCTCTGGGTTGGAGCACAGGTTCACGTAGGACTCTCGCACCCCGACCACCAGCTGGGAGTCAAAGGCCTCCCCCATGCGCTCTGCATGCACCAGCTTCATGGCGCTGGCTTGCAGGCGGCCCTGCACACGAACAGAACCCCCATGGCGCTTGTGGAATGCGTCTCGAGATGTGCCAACGGTGCACCTGTATTTACCTCCCGTAATATCCCAAAAAATAACACCCCTATTTTCGGCGTGATTTACTGTTCTTTTTGAAAAACTCTGAAAGATAGCCCATGTCTAATAATTGCAATGCCTGAGCCAATGGTGGCCTCGGCTGACTGAAGAGAACAGTCATCTAATGCTTCATCGGCCCCCAATGTAATAACAATTTTGACCAATCACAAAATACAAAAATTGAATTTTCTTAATTTTTCTTGATTGCACACGAAGTTAGCCCACTCTTCATTTTGTATGAAAATGGTTTGGTTCATATGAGGATTAAGGTGTAAAATGTGAGCTCAATATTTTCGCGGGCACCATATTTTGCGGTTTAGGTCAAAGTTGAAGCTTTGGAATAATCTTCGCGACATGGAGATACACCTTAAAGGAGTCATGAAATGCTTTTCCAACTTTTTCCTGTCTAGCTTTCCTCCGCAACTCATAAATCGAGCATTCTTCCAAACAGTTCAAGAAGATGGAAAGGCGGGAGTCCCCTCTTGCTCGGACTCTCGTTTGTGTACCCAGACACAGCCACTCTCCCCCACACAGAGCCAGTAAGCACACAGAGCCAGTAAATGTGTACACCAAATTTTGTGCGCTGTTAACTGTTCAGTTGTTTAATAACTAGGTAGAGTAACCAACACAACAGTAACCTTCTCTTTATCTGCAAAACTTCTATTCAGTGCCTCTACTATAACGAAATGGATAGTAAGTTCTCAAACAGGGTTTCTAGAAACACAGGGGTTTCCTAGAAGACCCTTTATGGATTTCCTAGAGTACCCTTACCGGTTCCCTAGAGTGCCCTCCTAGAGCACACTTATAGGTTTCCCCATCTTCTAAATTTTCTCAACCATCCCCATTCCTAAGTAACGTGCTTTTCCAGTTTAAGCACTCATTGATGCATAACCACGAGCCAAACATTCCATAGTACGTTCGTTATTGTTTAACAACTCTTGCACAGTTTTAATGTGTCAATGCCGACACCAGGAGGGGTCCCTCAGCCATTAGGGCAGGAAAGGGTTCCTCCAGATTGAAAAGTTAGAAAATCCCAGGAATGGATCGCCTTGTTATTGTAGAGACACGAAATGACAATAGGAAGGCATAAAACGAATTCCATTGTATGGAGAAAGGAAGTCACGTTCTTCAATAAATGTTGCAAGTCAGAAAGTTTGAAACCCAACCAGTGGTGCACCGACGGGGGGGGGTTCAAGCCCCCACTTAAAGCAATTTTTTTTTTATTAGACGTTGAAGGTTGGTAGGGTGAGAGAAAAAAAAAAGACATTTCTGCCTGAAGGGTCAGAACCTTTCCGAAGTTCAGTCTGCTCACTCCATTCGCTATCATCGTCGGAGTTTTAGACATATGTGAGAACATGCTATTCCTCATTATGGCTAGTCAGCAAACATTTGTAGCAATTTGTTCTGTAGCACAGAAAGCGGGTGTAGAAGAAAATAGTCCTGGGACAACTGATCCCAAGTGCAAAGTAGAAAAAAAAAAAAAAAAAAAGCCACAATCAAAGTAGAAAATGAAGATTATTTTTTCTATGCTTTTTTACTAAGTGAACCAATCATTCCATACTCTTACTAAACAAATGCACCACCTATTATACCTGTGTACTTACCGTATTTACTTGAGTAGTAGCCACACTATTTATGAACAAGGCCCTTGTGTCTACTTTTCCGCAAAGCACATATACAGCCAATCATCGCATTGCGCATAAATAACATAGCGAATAACTAGATCAAGAACACGATTCTCTATACAAATGCAAACTTCACAGATGGTATCATCGCACAAAGACATTATCTCTGTCCTGTAAGCCGCTGGAATCATGCTGTCGATCACGGTGATTGGCAGTCCGCGTGCTCCGCATGAAAACAAACCCTCAGGTTTTCATAAAAAGTGTGGCTATTACTCGAGTAAATACGGTATTTACAACAAAATTTTGCTTAAAAAGTCGCTTTGGCATTCAATTTAAGAGTGTGGCAGCCTTCAGATTCTTGCCGTATATTTCATAGGCTTCATTTTGATTCAATAAATGTATAACTAATGGATGAACATTTGGGACCTGCTAATCTGGAACAGGTGAGTGAGGTGTTTCAAATGTTATAATAAGTGTTGCGGGGACAAACAAGCAGGTGCAGTGGAAGTGCCAAGTATTTTTCATTAATTTAATAATTTAATACATTGTTTAGATAGAAGTTCTTACTCAATAAGGCTTTTAAAGTTTAGGTTTCCAATTTCTTCTGATAAAAGTCACCTCCCATCTTCAATCTTATTTTTCGTCGGGACACATCCACAGCTTGCATGCATTTCTTCTCCACTTTCCCCCCTCTTAAACATAACAAACAATTAAAAAAAAAACTACACAAAACAGGCAGGCAGAAATGCTGTGCTCGACCACACAAGCATGTATAGACGCTTTGCAGCAGCTGTGCATGGACGCCGCCATAACTGACCTTCAGTTTTTGTTTCCTCTTATTTCGTTTGTTTCACTTCATCATTACTATAGCAGGTTAGGTTATTGCCACATTAGATTCAGCTGTGTCCTTTTCTAAAGCATCGGTCTTTGTAGAGGATCGTCAACTAGCGTTTCAGTTGCTCGGCATCTCGGTAAGACAAGAGAAGGTCAGCAATGGCGGCTGTAATTTGGCGCGTGTGTAAAGCGTCTATATAGTTGACGAGGTTTTCAATTCTTGAAATCTATTGAGGGGGACGGTGAGAGCTGTCGCCAGGTGTGGGGATTGCCAAAGCAATTTGGCGGTTCATGTAAAGCTATCAGATGCTACCTGTTTCAAAGAGACCGACAACTAGATGTTCGCATAGGCCAAAATTTAGAAGCCCGGCCCAGCTTGAAAGTCAATTTTCATGGGCCCGCTGAGGCCTGCTCTATTTTTGCCAAGGCAGCTCACTTGCCACTGCTACACATGTTGATTAGTACAGTACTCAATAGTCAATGCAATAAGCATCCTTTTATTTTTTGCTGCTATTATTAGTCAGACAAATCTGTGGGCCAATGGTCGGTCACAGGTTAAGAGTGAAATGGAAGCTCCTCCCACGTCTCTCCCGTTTGGCAAAGCGAACGCTGCAGAGGAGGCGACCTCCTCTCCAGTTTTCCTTCTGCTGAAGTGGAAAGAGGTGGGAGGAGCTTCCACTTCCCTCTTTACCTGTCCCTACTTATAAATAACTCAACAAAAAACAAAACACCATTTTTTTTTTTCTTTTGAGGCCTGTCAGTGCCGGGCCTTTTCCAATCCCTGAAGCTACTCATCCGAACGACCTCGGGATCTACACCGGCAAGTCAGTACGTAGGACTATTTCGGTATCATTATCCTTTTGTTGCCCAAACTTGTGTGCTGAAGTCATCAGATTAAATTATAATTTATAATTATTTAAGAGTAACATTTTAAATGTTTTTTTGTCCTTCTCTCTGGGTATTTAGGTCAATAATTTTATTAATTTTCAGATAGTAATTACATTACTGGAAGTTTTCTTGTTTTTTTTTTTCAATACCTAATTACTTTTGTCTCTAGATAGCAGAGTTTTCTTCTCGTACATGAGGGCCATGGGAGGTGCGGCCATGCACCTCCCATGGCCACACTGGAAAGACACGTAATTGGCACTGATAGCTCGCATTGGATTGCACGAGCCGTAGCTTTTGTTGTCTCCAAAGTTACATGAAATGGAGTATACTAAGACCTACGCTTCACCAATTTTGCGATTTTAAAACAATCGTTTACAATTTGTCCCACAAAAGATTCACCACATGGTAACTACACCACGGATTGTAAAAATTTGTACAGGCGAAATAATTCCGAAACTGGTTGATTTCGGGGTTGCACATGCAGCATGGCAATCTCAACACAGCACATTGAAGTTCGCATAGCTTTTCTAACCCTTCTTCTTTGCCCGCGCCTCGCCGCCGCCGCCCCCCCCCGCCGCCGCCGCCGCCGCCCCCCCCCCCCCCCCCCCCCCGTTCCCGCTGCCCCCCCTACCCCCTACCCCGACGAAAATCCTGAGTGTGCCAATGAACCCAACCAAGAATGTGGAGATAAAGAACTCTCTTTGTGAAAAATAAACAATGCAAGATTAGGTGTGCTCCACTACAAACAGAACAAGCACCTTGCTCTGCATGGTAGGATGGTGTTTCTAACGAAGGGGGGGCACACCCACCTTGATGGTTGAGAAGATGCTCTGGTTCCAGGTGTCGAGCATGAGCTTGCGCACCAGGCCTTCCTCTGCCTTCTTGGGGCTCTTGCCCGCAAGCACCGTCTCCAGCTGCCCAAAGGGCATGGGCAGGTAACTGCACTGGACAAAGAACTTGCGCCACTCCCTGATGTAGGCATTCAACAGGGCCTGGTCCTCCTGGTGCTCTAAGACACGCTGCAGGGACACAGATATTGGCACGATTATCACATTTGCCGGACTATAGTAGCATACTATACATGCTTAAAAGTTGTAATTTTATGTGGTGCGGTCCATCTACAGGTGCGGACTACACACAGTTGTTTTTTTTCTAGAAATTTTGTTATGGCGAGATGTGACGGATTTTGTCGATGACTGAGCATGTTAATGATGATTTGGTGTAAGATATAAGCTTGTTTGTGAGCTCATAAAAAAGGCATATGTCAAGGTGTGTTGTGCAGGAAAATGTCTAAAATGTGGAATATGTATAACACGTGCCAGGGGCAGACTATAAAAAAACTTTTTTTTTTCCACAGAAGTATTTTTTGCAAACTATACACGAAACACCATAATCACCATCATCAAGTAGATTGCCTTAGGTCTCCAGCAGGCGGTTCATGACGAAACAGCCCAGAAATGTTGTAGTGAAGAGAATGAGAAGACCAGGTGTGATGGAGCCATTAATTAAGTTATGTAACAATGTCAAGGTTTCGTGGAATCAGTGTCACTAACCGTCATTGGTTCCTCACGGTCATTAAACGTAAATGTGCAACAACTCCGTGCTGCAATGCCTTTCAAAGTGGGGTCTCAAGATGTCTGCATAATTTGTTTCTTAACAAAAAAAGGGGTAAATACTACATGCGACCACTAATAAGGCAAAGTACCTTTAAACAAAAGCATGGTTTCTGTCTGAAAAAAATGGCTCATTAAAAATAAGTACCTTCACCTGGGTATGTCCTTCTGATATGATTAAGGATCAGGAGAGTACCACTTGCCCTTTACTCCTAATTCCATTTTTCAACTGTCACATGCTGCACAAAATATGTCTGGTCCCCTAAAAAAGATCACAAAGAATATTCTTCCCATAATATCCCTCCCGAAAGATGCCCCATCCCCGAAAGATGGCCCAACCCTATTTTTGGCATGATTTGCTATATTTTTCAGAAACACAAAAACATAATCCACTTTCAATAGTAGGTAAGCGGTGTTTGGCAACTTCTGGTTCCTTCAAAAATTTTGTTTAGCTGTTGACAAACGACAACGATGATTCGAGAGCTGTCTAAGCACGGTTCTAAAAACTATAGTCTGGAGGTTTCAGGACCATGCTTGCACAGGCTTGCAGCTCATTGTCGCTGTTTGTGAACTGTGAAACAAAATTCCTAAGGAACCGGAAGTTGCCAAACGCCGGTCACCTATTGCAGGACCCCTAGCCAACGGTGACCTTAGGAAAACGGTGTTAATTAACTACGGCAGGAGCTAAGCAAATATTGCTGACTGGGAAGGACATTCATCTTTGGTTTATTGCCCCTTCCCGTGATCACAAGTTTCGAGGGTCACAAAATCTAAAATCAGCATTTTTTCAACTTTTTTTTATTTCTTTTATGCCACATTGAAAGTTAGCTAACCCTTATTTTCATCCTATTTGCTATCGATTTTAGGTGGGCTATGTCTCGGGATATTGCGGTACGCAACTTAGCTTAATTCCACATATAAATATTTACAAGCTCTGCTAATTTCGAAACATTCGACTTGAGAAAGATGATACAGCAGAGACAGTATTCTCTTATAATGCAGATACTTCACATATTTTTGTTTTAAACCCTACATTGGTTTTCTCACCCTCTGCGCAATGCTGATAAACTCCAGGATATCCTCCTGAAGCGCAGCATAGAGTTTGGATGGACCTCGCTCATCCCACAGACACACGGCATGAATGTCCCTACAGACATGGAAGGAAAAGAAAGGCAAACAAAGTTAGTGGAAACCCATGAGCTTTTTTTTGTGAGACACTAACAGACGAGTCAAGTGAAATCACGGGACCACTAAGTTACGCGCAAAACCCATGCATAATCAGAACGGTGGAAAGGTTCAGAATAAGGATTGTCAATTTCTCCAAAAAGTAAGCTTTCTGAAGAAGTTTGGATCTACTAACGACTCAAAATACGGAACATCCACTAGAAGAATTTCCCAATGAAGAAACGATCAAAAAGTTTAAACCCTTCACCGAGCACTCTGGAGGCTGAAATAAAATCTTGACACTAAAACATTCCTCAGACAAGCAATGACTCGCGTTTTTAGCCAAATGTAGACAATGGAATGACAAGATCATCATATTTGCTTTAGTCTGGACCCCATTTATGATATGACATTAGAATGGCTTAATCTAGAAAGTGATCTGTCAACCAGATGTAATGCATTTTTCCTGTAGATTTTAGATTGTCACCACAGCCTCCAATAATTCTATACTGATAAACTTACACGACCTCACTTGCACCCCCTCACATTTTCTTCGTTAATATATAGCTGTCCCAAACCTCATAACTAGACCTATCAGAAAAGAAACTGCAATTCCTGCTACCAACTTGACTACAGTAATATCGCGAGAGATGCAAAATACCCGAAAGATAACCCGCCCCCTATTTTTGGCACGATTTGCTATTTTTTTAAAAAACACCGAAAGATAGCCCATTTGTACTAATTGCAGGGCCATGGCCACCTTGGCAGAAATGGCATTACTTAGCCAAGACGGGAGGACCGTCGTCTTTGGGTCATGGCCCCTCCCTTGTAATCACAAGTTTTGCAGGTCACAAAATCTAAAACTAGAATTTTTTTCAACTTCTTCTGACGGCCCAGCGAAAGTTGGCCCAGTATCTCTTGGGAGTTCGGTAAGCTGGCTGCCTGGTATCCTGTGTTCGAAGAGGCCCCTATTCGGAAGAAAGTTTACTGTATGCTGTCACATTTGCTGAAACCTTCTGTGTCACTCTTTGCAGAAGCAAGCTTGTTGTTTGTCGCCAAAGCGACAGAAATCTCACTCGGAGATAACACATAACAAGGACTCATTAGCGCCTCTATGAAACACTATTTCCTCAATGGGGCAAATAATTTACCATGTCAGAAGAATGATGGCTGAACGCTCAAACTCGTGCTTAGGCTGGTGCAGTGACATGGCGGGATCAGTGGCCAAGTGTGCTAACACACTTGTCCACAGAGCTTGTGGAGCAAAAGCTGGCACTGCAGAACCCAGGAACACTGGGTTCCATCCCTACCCCCTGCCCATTTCGATCTGAATGAGTATCATACCTGCATGCAGTCGTATATTGTTACAGACCCCGGGCTAGCGGTGGTACTGCACTTGCTAAATTTCGCATCTACAACAAAGACACCAAACGCCTATGGGGGTTGACTAAATTCCCAGTGTCTAAACATACACAGGACACAATTACTTAACCTTTACAGGGACACGAGAAGAAAACAGAAAAAGCATGTTTATCACGCGCTCACCAGAACAAGCCCTGCCATTCGGTTCTGGTGATTGGATCCTGGTGAAGCAGCTTCAGTATCGTCGGCCGCATCTTCGGCCACCGTTCGTCAAATTGCAGCTGAGATTTTTCCTGGAAATAAAGTTGAGTGTTGCAACCTCATCCTGAACTACACACGCCAACAAACCGAAAACACAGCCACGGACACTCTATGACATCCGGATTATTAGCAGTAAGCACACAAGAAAGCAGCAGAACTTAAAGAACGTGCGATCACCAAATGGCAAGAACATTTGCGAGTTATTGGGAGCTGACTTTTGCACGGAGCTGAACACTAAACACCTACTCCTAAATGCAAAATAGAAAGAAATTTCGAAAGACGCTCGACGTCAATTATAAAAGTAATTTAGGAAAAACTTCGGGTGAACGCTGAAGAGAAAGCAAAAGCTGAGATTACTGAGTCACAATCGTAAAAGGCCGCCGAGACGCGAGAGTTTGGTGACAGTTGCTGCGCACCATCTCACCAAAATAGACCCGCTCACAGCGCAACCTCAGGTCCGTTTCCGTTGCGAAAACAATACCAAGCGCCAGCCAGGTACCGAGAATCCGATCTGAACCGGGATCCCCTTTGTGACGCAGGGCAGGAGAGTTACTGCAGTCGATCTTGAGCAATAAATCGCCAGACTTTCCGATCGCACTTCCTTTATCGAAACGCTACAGAGGTTACTGCGCGAGTTGGCGTGTTATCGGTTCGCGAGAGCCCAAGTTTTACGGTCCCTTGTGGTTTCGGCGAGAGCGTCACGCACATTTTTTTGTGGTGTTGGTGCTTGCAATAATCAGCTGCCGTTGCTTTTTTGGGTGTTTTAAACCTAATACGACCGGCATATTAAGAGTCGCTGTCTTTTGGTACGTGGCGTTGCGGTTATAATGTTCGAGGAACCGCACACGGAACGCCCTGTCAACACGACAAACGGTAGGAGAAAGGTGGTGGATCTTTCTGGCGTGGGATTATTTTTAAATTGAAGAGGGCAGGAGCATTACAGACCTTTATCGCAGCCGCCATGCTAGCAACTACTGCTGATGTCCATTGGTATTACTGGAGCGCTGAACGGGTTATATCATTTTTATTTCGGAAAGAGATGCTGGGCTCGCGGCCATGGATAGACACCTATGTAGTCCCATGGAAAAAAGTGAGAGTTACCGCAATCTTACAGTGTAGAACGAATATATTCAATTTTAAAAGCGTGAATTAAAAATTAAGTTGTGATTTGTTTAGGTTTATATCCCTGAACCTTATTTAATCCTGAAAAAAATTAAAACGCGCAGTTCTAGATGTAGGTGTCAACCAATGGCCGTCACCACTGATCTCACGAGCGTTTCGCCGCAGTAAGGTTGCAACGCCTATTGGCTGAGAGAAAAAAGCAAAAACAAGCAAAACAACACAAACCGGAAGTGACGAAAGTTTTTGTTTTGTTTGTTTTTGCCTTTTTGCTTTCTTCAATTTCATTTTTTGTTTTTACTTTTTGTTCCTCCAAGTGTTTGTTGGGCGCTTTTCGGAGCGGTCGCGTCGGTTCCAGCGGTCTTTCTTGTATTATAAGTTGTCGTGTTATGTGCCGCGGTATTGCCGAGTGGAGTTGGTCGTGATATTCAATGCTTGGGAACGAGCGTCGGCAGTGAAGTCGTGAAGTCCAAAGCGCATTCATGCAAGCTAGCAGGCCCCGTCTCGCCACATGGAGGCCCGTGGGACGCTTGTTCGGAACGTAAAAGGTGAGTGGAATTTACCTACTGGTGGCGTTCGATCGTCGATTCTACACCGCTGTGGTGGAATTTGATAGCGCTTGGCTACCTCACGTAGCGTCGGGGACAAAGAAGAAGGTACTAGAGATAATCAACGGGAGTGGCATGTGGCTCCCGGGTGCCGCCTGCGCCGCATTTGCATTCAGTAATCGCACTTAAAGAAGGACCAAGCGCGTTGGGAATGTCAGCTTTTGACGAGCTCGTGCAGTCAATTAAAGCGTTCTGTCGAAAGACGGGATTTACAAACAGATCAGGCTTCGCGAATGGCCCTCCCGGCGCGTCGAATTTGTGGCGGGTAATAATGTTACTGTATCCTGGTAGGCCTGCGATGGTCTTTTCTGCACAAATACTGCATTCTGCCGTGTGGTACATTCACACCTGCAGCAGAACTGCTAAGCGATTCTGCTACAGGTTAATCGCGAACAGTAGTGCTCTTCCATTTTAAAGTGCATGGTAAAGGACAACACATAAGTGCCTCTCTGTTCTACTTCTCCTTTGGTATTCAACTGGTTGTATTTTCTACTACATTTTGTTCAGAAAGCCACTGCGAGACAGGCATTATTAATGTATACTATCCAAAATGATGCTTGAGCATGAGACGAGGTAACAGAAATACTTCTATATGTGCCTGCTTTTTGTGTTTTTGCAAGACAAGGCAACAGAAATACTTCTTTATGTGCCTGCTTTTTATGTTTTTGCAATTCACCGGTTAGACCACTCTTCTCATGGTTATTGTTTTGTTGGGTGTAAATTTTCCACCCCAGGTGTCCGATGCTTGCGGCTGATGGCTTCTACCTACGTGCATCAAACAGCGGGCCTGCACCTTCGCCGAGACAGCAGTAAAACAGTTCTGGGTAACTGCAGCGACTGGGTCACCGATGCCGTTCCACTTCCTGCACTGCACTCCGCGTGGGTCAAAGGGCCAGCGTATGCCTTTTACGGGTTGTCGCCAGCCATAGTGAGTATGGCTTAGAGTCACGTCATGCGAGTGAAATGCTTGTCACCTGAGTGACGTCAGTGGGCGGGGGGGGGGGGGGGGGCGCCGTCGCCTCCGTTGGTGGGGTTATGACCGGTGGTCTGCGATCACAGACCACCGAGCACCATTGCACTGTTCCTGGATGAACTCGCCGCTCTTGAGAAAGAACAGGGTGCTTTGGGAAGAGCTATGGTGTCTGCTTTTTCACTAGCTTCACTTGTTCCCTGGACACCTTCATGTGTGGTGGCACGTGGCAGTCATTGCTTAACCTTGCTTAAAGATCAACGACTGGACTGGTCAAGGGTGGCATGCCTGAGAGTGGGACAGTAGATGGCTGTTATATACCAACTTTAGACTTCATTCACCCCTTAACTGACAGGGCACTGGAGGCTACATGCTCAGTGAACCAGCCGATTGTCAGTCTTGCATCACTTATCATGCCCCTTTCTCATACAGATGTGCAGATCGGACATGAGGCAATAAAAGCTTGGCCCACCAACCGCATGGCTCCTACCGCACTGTCAGCGTAGGGGTGAACGAAGCGTAGGGGCGGCAGAGTTGGTGGGGTCTGCTGAGTGCTTCTGGCGTAGCAGCTCGGCAGTGGTGAGTTACTAGAGCACAAAATGCAATACCGCACTTTACTCTCAATGCTGCGAGCCATCGGAGCCAATCGAGTGCCGAAGGTGTGTCACGTGGCGTGTCCGTTGGGTGCAACGGCACGTGGAGCACAGTGTCATCTGGCAGCGACAGAGTTGGATTGGCTCCGGTGGCTCGTATCGTCGGCTGCGGTACAACACAAGGTGAAATGGAGTAGAATGTGATGACGTGTCGCATCACAGAAGGTGAGCAAAGTAAACAGATAAAAGTTTGATTTTTAGAGTGCCTATTTTAGGTTTTTGTTGCCTCTTTCAGTGTCCTTAAGAGCCCAAAGGCCTGCCCATCCCGACATTTGTAATCCCTATATTTCCGGACTTGAGTGGAAATATAGGGACTACAGAGAGGGCCAAATCAAACTGTTCCAAATCCTGAATATAGGTCTACACCCTTTTCAGTAAAAAGTTTGAGGGGAATAAAGCTATTGGTGCAGGTCCGTGACCCTGGCGGGCGCTCTCGCTCATCCAGCTGAATCACATTCAAAATGAGGAAGTTTCACCCTTGTCTCAATGACGGGCTGTTTTTGGCACAGTTGTTTGACTGGCTGCTAAAACACAAGCACAGTTTTACAGCTTGGCAAACACCATGGCAGAGACTCAATGCTGGACATGGAATTTCATTCCAACTCTAGTAGCACTACAAGCAGCAAAGGTAGCCCTAGGATTACACTTGCTAAAGTTCTCCCACAGAATGTGTCCAGGACGTTGGTGCTTGATGGGCATCCAAGCGTTCGGGGGCACGAGTCACTATGCCGTCACTTGACGAGAAGTGAAACAGGCTCTTGTTGATCGCACCACGATTCTGATCAAAGCAAGTTGAGCTGCCTCTCCACAGTCCTGCACTTCTTAAAAATTATGTCTGGATTCTTGAGGGTAATAGCTTGCATTTGTAACAAGTGTCACAGAGCTTTCTGGACAAGCGGCGATAATCAAGAATGAAACGTGCCCTACAGCTAGCTAGCTAGCTTCGAGAGTGTTGCACATCGCAGTGTCAAACGAAACGGCAATATCAGTCAACAAGACCGAGTACCGCCTTACGACGAGACTGAGCCCGCCACCAAGTTCACACCCATCCAAAACAGCGTGAAACTGGCAAACAATATTCTAACCCTAAAATTAACTTGGGCTGTTCGTACAGAAGGAGAACGCTTCAGAGAAAGCGTCGTGTGGGCACCCTTTTGTTCCGCAAAGCGTGCCTAGCCTTCAAATTTCTTGCGTTTGCTCTGATCAAGCTTTTGCACAAACAGTTTTTTTCCAGTGTATCGTTCAACAAAAAGTTACAGCTGTTTTGTACTGAGCTGCTTACAGGAACTAATGCCATTTGTAAATATCTCTTACAGCCGAGCTGTTTGAAGTCATCACAGATATAAACTACACATTGCAGCAACTCACAATCGCATTCCTGCCTGTCATGTCGAACAGCGGAGCGCTAATTTCAGTTTGAGGTCTGCACTCTTACTACAATGCAGATGGTGACAGCATCAGGCTGCACTCGGTAAGTTAGTTTGAGACCGGTTCTTTGTGCGGCACTCCGCGAGTGCGGTGCACTCTGGGAGATGACTCGCATAATGCCAGTGCGTTTGAAACGAGCTTGCTATAAGGCCCGCTACTCATGGGATAAGTTACTCATATAGTTTTTGGGCAGCTGATGAGTTATTCCCCCTCCACAGCGACGCGCATTGCTGGGTTTGGGTACGACTTGAAACCGACGAGCAGCTCCGACAGCTCTAACGTGTTTGAAGCGGCAGGAGCAGTTCAGGGACACAATATTTCCACGTGACCTCCCTTGCAGTAGTGGTGATGGTGCGTTCAGTAGCGGCTCCCTCAGCTCCGAACGGAGTAACTCAAGTTGGAGTTCTCGGTGCACCTACTGAACGTCAAAACAAGCGCAGCTCTTCAGCCGCTGAGCACGATTGCTTTGTTTGACGCCTGTATTGAAGAAGTCTCTATAAGGTTGTTAAAGGAAAAGCGAGTGTCTGTTGTGGGAGCCACAGGTTTCCCTCCCCCAAGGGGACGTAAGCTGCGGACATGCAGATGTTGCTTCTGGAGTCGTCTGGCTTTAAAGGGGCCCTGCAATCATATTTAAGCGTCTACCTTTTTTGCAGTTTCCACGTCTCTTGGGGTTCGGGCAAGCCAGCGGGCACGGAGAGAGTAACTAAATATCAGTGAATCATATTTTAACCGAACGACGCGGAAAACTCCTCCACCTACGAGGGCGACCCACGTTGCCGAAACCGCGCAATATGTGACGTCTTTGGTCCTGGGCTTACTACTGGTCAGAGCCGCTAAAAGCTCGTTTTTAGTCGAAACACAAAATATAAGTGGCGCGAACCGTTTCAATTATTTATAAAAGTAGTTTTTGTTCAGTATTTTACATCAGAAAAGAACCGAATGCAGTTTATAAAGTACTGAAACAAGAAATGACCCGCCGCCATACCCGCCACCAAGCGGTGGAAAAGGCGGCGCACTCTAGAAAGGAGTACTGGGATTAGGCGCCGACACGGAAAGGTCCCGGATGTACGCGGCGGCGCTGCAGTCGTGTGGACAGGAGGATCCGACCGGCCCCAAGCGTTCCGGTGGCCTTTGGCGAGAAGCTTTGTCTTGCGGTTCGGCCGTTTCGCGGTATGGCAGCGCGAAGTAGCTCCCATTCTGAACTGATCTTTACCCTGTGTTTGCT